TCCTTATTCACCCAAGGACTTTGACGACGACGGTACCATCTGGCGTGGCAAGGTAACGATGCCTCCAATTGGGGAATTCTCCTCGTCCGCGAAGCATGTGGGAGGCGCGGACTTGAGTGGCCGAATCCCGTGGAGCCAACTGGCCCCCTCCACGTTGGTTGTTGATGGCCGTATCGATATCAGACGGGCAACTGATTATCTATGCGGCCTTCAGTTCAGCAAATCTACTGATGTATCTGTGATATCAATCAGCAGTCCTGATCAGCCCGTGGATCGAGCAGGCTTCGACAAGATGTTTGACTACTTCCATAGTCGTGGGCGCTATGGCGTCATTGGAAAGCACCCGCTGTCCGCCGTCAAAGACACCTACATTGTCCCAATGGAGATTGGCACCACGGTAATGCCCGAGTTCATTGAGCTACTGGAAAATATCTCCTTGGAGGCACCCATTACTCAACGCATGCTTCTTACTGTTTTCGTCGTCAAGACTAGCGAGTCCAACCCTTCATCTGTCCAGCCGCCATCCCACCAGGCTAGCCAGGAACCGCCCATCTCTGCGAGCCCCTCTGTTGCAGCCGCGACTCCCCAGCAGCCCCAGTTCAGCGCTGGAATTGCCCCAACTCCCCCTTCTCACTTTGGTGGATTCAACCCGAACCCCGCCACGTACGGTCAGCAAACCCCTGTACAGCAAGTCCAGACCACCCCTCAACACCAGCCTGCTCTGACTGGCCTCCCCGCCGCGGTGCAAGTCCTTGGCCCGCAAGTTGATGCTCCTGCCATTCAGCAACTTCTGAAAACTGCACCTAATGTGGACATGGCGCAGCTGAGTGTCGTTCGCGACATTCTGGCGCGCCAACCTGCTGCCGCTGCTAATTACGATACTTTGATGCAAGCTCTATTCGAGACCCAAGCAAACGGCCATGTGCCCCAGTAGGGTGTGTAATAGAGTTATGCCCATGATAGCCATTCTTTTTCGTGTACAGATTATCCTATGTTGTATTTCCTTTTACAAGACTGCACAATGCTAGTCTGGTGTTCGGGACTGAAGTCCCTAGGGCTGGGAAAAGGTTTTGTTTTAGGAAAGTGGAATACCCACCATCAAATGTTTTCAATTTTATGCCTCCTGGTTCTCTACTCGTAAAAATGAAACTGCTTCTACTGGTATTAGTCTTTCTTCTCCCGTGTCTCGCACGTATATGAGTTTGTCGTAGCCAGATCGCAACCATGATCTATCTACCAAAGTCTTGCGTTTGTAGTCACTCTATTCCATTTTATGGCTATTTGTACGTAGTCTTTTTCTATTATGACACCAGCAGAAACAATCGAGATATTTCATCATGTCAGGGGGAAGAGAATGGATACTATACACGATTCTTGTACATACCTAAGGGGCTGTGAGATATCGACACGGAGAAGCATGAAAAATGAAATGGATATTGAGCACTTATCCTATGACCTCCCTAACCGTCGTTTGAGCATCATACACGAGATAGTAAGTAAAAACGCCTGCGCTATGCAACGGGCCCAGAGCCCAAGTCTCCAAGAACGAAGAGAAGTTAACGAAATTTACCATCTTCCACCTCCGCGGCGTCGATATCCACCACCGCCACCACCGCCACCGCCATACCGAGGGCCACGACCAGCACCGGGGCGACCACCAGAAGTGTAAGGGTTATCATCTTCTTCGTGGTGACGAATTGGCGGAGCCCGGCCCTTCAGCTCAATGCTCAGCTTCTTGCAGTTCTTGCGCATATCTGAGTATCCCATGTGCATCTTTCCGAAGAAGTGATCCGCCAACCGGCGGTCGTTGTCAAGGCGAGACAAGTAAGCACCGCAAACGTCGCAGACCTGCAGCTTCTGGTGGCCGGATGGACCAGAGGTATCTTGAAGGTTCTTGAGATCGCGCTCTAGACTTTCCTTCTGGTGTTTGGAGGTGCGGACTTTGTGCATTTCACTGAGTGCTAGTGCGACGGAGCCCGTCTCGCCGAGAATAGAGACTTCTTGGAGACCGGAGTTGATTGTGTTGGAAAGATCGGCAATTTGTTTGAGCTATATAAGAAGTTAGTGAAGCCCAATGGAGTCCCTCTCATTAGGGATTTGGGATAGAAGTAAAGCTACACATACCAAGTCATTTGTCTGCCGAATCTCATCGGGCGTCTTTTCCAATCGGCGCTGCGCGGTGTCGATTCGGCGGTCACAGTCGTCAATGTACTTCTGCATGTCGCGCAAGTAATCGAATTCAAACCCCCATTTCGCCTTCTCTGAGGCAGGTGCAGTATCATATTCGGTCTTCAGGCCTTCACTATGAACCTTGGGGCAAGGTCCGAGGTCTTGCTTGGTGTTGGTGAACAGGTCGTGCGGGCAAGTGCCAACAATGTAGGAACGGCAAACTTTGTTATCTGTGATTGCGAGCTGGGAATTGCGACCCTGTGCGCCAGTTCCAATGAGCTGATCAGCTATAGACAGAAGCAATGTTAGCTCAATTCGGAGACTTGTCGGGGTGGGCTAGAGCTTGGAGATTTTGAGAGTCACAAAATGAGCAACATACCTCCCATGAGCTGCTCAAGCAGCTTTCTCTGTTCTGCTGCCATGCTGATGGTGTATCCAATACGCTGGAAAGTAAAGAAAAGACGAAATTGTGTCAACGGGCTGATTGGCGGCAAACGACGAAGTCTTTCGCTTTTGATGCTTTTGGCGCCAAGGAAGGCGGTGAGGCTCCGCAGTCAACAGACCAGATGGACATCTCACGGATTTTGGAGTTTGGCTTTTGATCTTTCTTCCGATGCGGAGCTTTTCGATTGATTTGGTGATTACCTAGGTCTGACTTTCTGGGGCCACAGCCAACATAGGCCCATCGCTTCGCCGACACCCCCTACTAATTGACCGGTAACAACCGTATGGACTAAGACCGAGCTCCGGCAAGCATGAAGTCATGACGGTCCTTTCTCTATTCTCATTTCCTTTCGTCGCACTTATTCTCTCATTATGGAGCTCATCTGTCTTCGCGTCGTCCGACTATCACGAACACCTCCTGCTACAACCTCTCCCGCAGTCCTCCTTACTGGCTTCTTTTAACTTCCGAAGCAATACATCACAACAATCATTCGACCAACAACATTTTAGATATTTGCCTCGGGCCCTTGGTCAGATCCTGCAACACGCTCATACAAAAGAATTACACCTCCGATTCACCACGGGAAGATGGGACGCTGAAAGCTGGGGCCCACGGCCATGGAACGGCAGTAAAGAAGGAGGCACTGGTGTCGAGCTTTGGGCGTGGATTGATGCGCCAGGTGATGAAGAGTATGTTCCTCACTCGCAATATATCGTGAGAGGCTCACAATGCTGACTTACCCAGGGCTTTTGCCAAATGGATCACTTTGACACAGTCCCTCTCTGGTTTGTTCTGCGCCTCGCTGAACTTCGTGGACTCTACCCGGACCACTCGACCGGTTGTTTCTTTTGAACCGGCTGGGGATCACTCAGCTGCCGATCAACTGCACCTTTTGCATGGAACCCTTCCCGGAGAGGTCGTTTGCACAGAGAATTTGACCCCTTTTTTGAAGCTGCTTCCTTGCAAAGGCAAGGCTGGAATCTCCTCACTATTTGACGGACACAAATTGTTCGATGCCGCATGGCAGAGTATGTCAGTGGATATCCAGCCGGTCTGCTCTGCGGACGGAGAATGTGTGGTTCAGATTGAGCAAACCGTAGACATGGTCTTGGATATTGACCGGTCTAAGCGCTCTCGTTGTGCGTATTCTTCGCCTGTATACTCTGTCTTAAGATTGCTAACATAGATATAGCGAACCCAATTCCTCGGCCGGTGCCTAATGAGCAACTTGTTTGTGACACATCCAAGCCTTATAATTCAGATGATACCTGTTACCCACTGGAGAAGACAAGCGACAAGGCGTGGAGTCTTACAGAAGTTTTCGGGCGAACCCTGAATGGTGTTTGTCCTCTTACAGATTTCGATGGGTCTAGCGACCAGAGTGTCTGCCTTCGGGTACCCCACGAGCGGGGTGTCTTCATATCCGAGGAGGCTGATGAAATCAAGAAGGATGATGGATTCACGCGATGTTACAAATTAGCGCCATCGGTTCCCTTTGATCTTTCGATTCCGCAACAGCCAGTGACCACTGAAGTCCCGTTAGACGAGCCTGTTTTGCACGCAGAGCGAACTATCGTTGGGCACGGCCAGGAGCGCGGTGGAATGCGCATTATCTTTGGCAATCCATCAAATACCAGCGCAGTCGATTTCATCTACTTCGAGTCTCTTCCGTGGTTCTTGCGACCATATATACACACTCTGCACGCAACAATCACAGGACAGGATGGGGTTCTGCGCGAGGTCCCAGCCTCTGAAATAGTCAAAGAGACGTACTATCGGCCCGCGATTGATCGCGAGCGTGGAACACAATTAGAATTGGCGTTGTCTGTCCCCGCCGCATCAACTGTCACGTTGACTTATGATTTCGAGAAAGCCATTCTTCGGTACACCGAGTACCCACCAGATGCTAATCGAGGGTTCAACGTTGCACCTGCAGTAATTCGGGTCTTGGATAAGGCCCACAATGCGCCGATATACATCCGTTCCACAAGTCTCCTGCTTCAACTCCCCACCCCGGATTTCAGCATGCCATACAATGTGATCATTCTCACTAGTACCGTGATTGCACTTGCATTCGGAACTATCTTCAACATCCTGGTTCGACGAGTTGTCTCCCTAGATGAGGCTGCCGCTCTTGGAACACAGACTTTGAAAGGCCGGATACTGGGGAAACTGGTGACTATCCGTGATCGACTACGTGGCAAGGATACCAAGGTCGAGTAGTTTACATTGAATATAATAATTACAATTGCGATATTTAGCATTTTCAAGCCCCCCTAAGATACCTGTAAAAAGTCCAACCCCAGTTCTCTATTGCTCATTTTCACATAAAACACGAGGACATGTGTGAAATTGAGGCCAAAAGTAACCGCTGCGACGATCTGCTTTACTTGGCTGGACCCGTTATCCCAAGAGGCCGACCAACGCTTGAACCGGACGCGAACGCTTGTCGGACATGATCTTCCAAATGCAACACATTTTCAACCCCCTTCCAAAATATAGAGTCAATGCGCAGAAGACCAAGGTGGAGGCAAGGCAGAATCTCAGCCTTCAAGCGCATATCCCGGCGCACTCTGTGTAGACAAGTGACCCATTTATCCGCCTCGATCTCATCAACGGAGCTGGCAGCCATATGCAGGATTTGGAAACAGATGGACGAGAATGCAGTCGCACTCCAGGCCGGCCATAGAGCCTCAAGGTCTTCTGGGCGCAGCTCGTGGATAAACTCCGCTGCCGCCGAAATGCATGTTTCTGCTTGGATCCGGGCCTGCTCACGCGCCATTATATACTCGGTCTTAGTCAATTTTTCGACAGTTGGTTGCAAAAACGGTCTCAAAATAGCCCTGCAGATACTCAAATGAATGTAATGGTAATTCATCTCCAGTGTTCTTTCTAGCCCGGTTGGTCTGCCTTGATTTGATGGCGTGAACTCGGCCGGCGGTGCAGATACCGGTCTGTGCCATGAGAAGAGATCTTCAAGCAGTGGACCAGTCAATGCGATAGTCTTCTCATAATCAGTAGATATGGTATTAATGGCACGAGGGGAACTAATATTGGTGAGTTACGGAGAACGACGAGATAATGACGCGAATTGACTTACTATAATTGGGTTAGAACACGGTCAAGCAGAGCGTCCAGTTCCGCTCGCTTCATGATGTTCGTCCAAGCTGAAGCGTCAAGTCCACTGAGAGAACGATCCTCGTAGCTTGGACTTGTCACTAGCCAGTTATCGTAATGCAGTAAAGGTGGCCGACCAAGGCTCAATGCAAGCCACTTGTCTGTTGAATAAATGAAATAAGACAGACAACGTCGCTGGGCAATTTGCCATGGAGGTATTCGCCACAACTTTGGATCCAAATGCAGTCCAAGGGTATGAGCGCAAGCTATAAGAGTGGCGAGTTGGGACCATTTGAAACCACTATCCAATACAATTGGGTTTGGATAAGGTCGAATGGCCAAAAGAAGCAATGTCTGTACAACACAAAGCTTTGGTGCATGTATCTCATGTGGAAGCGCTTTGTTGATAATATTGTATAAGGCCACAGCTGATGGCTTATCATATGCGAGATCAATGCATAGCCTTTCGTCGAATTTAGTGAAAGGCTCAACTATTAGGTATACGCTCGCAAGGAGGTATGGCGGGCTGGTGCTGGGGTTTAGTTGGCCTGGGGGACTAAGTATTGGGTAATCCGGTGCAACGATCCTCTCAAATAGGTTAATTAGTCTGAGACCGATATCCCCGGGGACCAAAGATTCGAGTTCCTGCCTCAATTCAACAACTGAAACATTCTCGCATCCATTTTCTTCCCTGCTAGCAGCAAATATTGAGGGTTTTGACAGTAGAAACTGCGTTGGGTCGGACGCCGAGGATACGGATTGTATATTGAGATTTTTGAAATGAAAAGCCCCAGATGTATCGTATTGATACCGACTCATCAGCAAAGGGTCCATATCGCCACTACTGCCGAGCAATTGTGGTGTCATTACACCTTGAGTATCAAGGCAAATCGATGAACCATTCTCCTGCACAAGGAATTGTAAAGGTGGGGCCTGTGATGAGCCTCCATGATCCGAACGACCAGTCTCTGGCAGCGCAGGGGATGGATAGATAAAGCTCCCTGGAGTAAATCCAGTTGGCCATGTGCCATCTCCAAAGTCACCCGATATTGATACTCCGGCTTCTTGGAAGAAATCATGAAATCCCTCGGGTGCAGTGGCAGTTGAATGATCTACTCCATCATTATCAATCGACATCAAGATATCGTAGTGGACTGAGTCACCAACTGGTGAAACCTCATGCTGCTCTGACCGTGTCCTTATACCAGCTTGTTGGGGAAGCTGTGGGCTAACCACCTGGGGAAAAGGCTGTCTTGGCCTTGACGTTGGCTGTAGGAATGTGCATTCTTTCCCATAAAGCGTGCAAAGATAACATGGAGGTGCTTGATCGATGCGACAGGCTGCCTTCCTAGCCCGACAGGAATCACAAGCGCGATTTCGCTTGCTCATGTACCTACGAGCTCTGCCTGACATCCTTGCATTGAGAAAATTTTCATGAGTGCATGTGTTGGTCGCTAAACCTTGGGGTTCCAGAGGTAGTAGATGTGCACAAAGATGGAGGGCACAAGCAATAGCCCCGTATGTCACGTGATATTATATATATTTACAGCGTTCTCCGGCAACTCTCTGCCTTCAGCACTACTATGTAGCATCCACGGAGGCTTCCCTATATTGGCATAATAAGGTCATCTGACCTCGGGAAGACTTTATGTGAATAGGATTGATTTCGCTGTGGCTATAGGATCATCCAACAAGGATTGTAATCGAACTAGGGCGCACTAACTCCAATAGCGGCTTAGTGCGACATTGGCATTTGGGTGCGGGGATTTCCTCTCACTTTACTCTTTACTCTTGGGACGACTATGTTGATAATAATCGAAAGCCTGTTGACTCCGCGCCTAGGGGCTGAAGGACCTTTGAAGCTTCTGTAGTTCGGTGGGTGATGACTAACTGGTCAGTCACAGGACACAATCTGGCGTCCTGTACCTGACTTGTAGGTTAAAATAAGCTAATATAACCAAGTTTTACCTTTCATTTCAGGCACAGCATGACATATAAAACCGCCCCTATCACAAAAAAATCAATTCCCAGCTCATGTCTACCCGGCCAGGCCGCGGCTGTGACTAATAATATGAATAAAATTTTAGGGTTATCGTGCTGATAACCTTGTCCCCGCATCTCCCGGGCCGAACTCGGGAAGTAAAAGGTTTGACATAAGTGAACCCTTTTCTTGAATTCAAAAGGAACAGCAGTGTATGAGTGAGGAAGCAGAAAAACACGAAATTTTTCATTTAAGTGAATAAGTGGGATATTGGAAAAACGCAGCGTGAAACAAAAATAAAGATCTGCAGAACGATATATTCTGGCATCACATCACAGTCCACCCAAAGGGAAATCAAACCTTGAGCAAATAATGTATTTTCATTTGTTGTATTTTTTTGTACATACTCCCCATTACTCTTCACTTTTGCCGAAGTGCACCTGCCGAAGGATTCGACTGGTATCTTCGATATATACAAAGCTTTGCGAGAGTCCCCTTTCAGGGTGATTGAAGTGCCCAAATGCATGTGGTACGCCGGGGTATCTCTTCATTGTAACCTCGTTTCCAGCCCTTTGCATGAGTTGACCATAATACTCTCCTTCATCTCTCTCAAGATCAAACTCTGCTGTGATGATGTGCGCCTTCGCAAGATTTTTGAATGAAGGCGCAAGTACTGGTGTGCAGATCCACTCTTTTGTCAAGATTCTTTCTTGGGTAGCTAGAAAAGCGTGAGTATATGCATAAAGGAAATCCTAAGAGGGCACAGACAAAAGGAAGACTTACCATCATCATCACCGAGCCAATACTTTAAGAACCATTGCTCTCTGCCCAGTGGTCCCCACGGGGCATCATGGTATAGCAAGACACTTTCGTATGGACAGGTCGTCTCATTCAGCTCCCGGGTTCTTAGACAGTAGCGCATGTCTGTTGCTGGAACTATGATCAACTGGAGTTTCAGATCAATGCCCTCGTCGCGGGCGAAATGCGCCATTACTGCAGTCATTTGACCACCAGCTGAAAGACCTCCAATAGAAACACTCGATGGATCAACATTGATACTAGAAGCATTTGCGATTGTCTGTCAAAATGTCTTGCGTTAATGAAGTAAGTCTTAAATGGAATTAGGCTTTGTACTTACCCATTTCACGGCATCCCATGAATCATAGATGCTGGTAGGATAGGGAAACTCCGGAGCCAGTCGGTAATCGACATCAATCACTTTAATTTGGGCCTTGTTGCACATGTGCCGGCACCAAGCAGCTTCAGAGTTGAGATTGCCAAGTACCCAACCACCTAGAGTCAATGAACAAGGTTAGAAAGTCCACGCTGGAATGTGGAGGCTCAGCGCCATCAGTTACGTACCTCCATGGAAGTTCAAATGAACAGGGAATGGACCTGGGCCTTCCGGTGTATAGACCCTGATCATGATCTTTCCAGCTGGTTGAGAGACCGGGATCTCTATGTCTTCAACATGGAAAACGGATGGACCTTGATGCTAGTTAGTACTTGTTTCAAGTTCCCAATTCTAGAACTTAAGTTCATGAATCTGACTTACCAGGGCATGTTGGGTAGGTGAAACTGTATGTGGCCGGACTCTTGCGATATTCTTCAAGAGATAATTCGTCAGCTCTTACCATGGAGCTGCCGTGATTCTCCCATATTTCTACCCATTCTGGATCCAATCCATTCAAGAGCTTGTCTGGTATAGACAAGCGCCCTTTCTTTTCTTCAACCACGACTGTTGTTTGTGTACAGGCCATTGTTATGTGTCAAAGCAACGACTAGGTTAACGATAAAGAGAAGTTGAGAAGGTAAAAGTATGTTCAATGGTCAATCTTAAGCGAAGGATCTAAATTAATTTAAAAAAATTGTGACAGTGTTGATAAATTTAGTCACCTACCCTTTGATATGGCTTGGATATAATTCTGGGCTCTGATTGGCGGCATCGGCCACATTATCGGCTCCGATCTAAGCGATAGGCATCGGGGCGGGGGGTCTTCCTATCTGCGGGGCCCATGTGGGCCATGCACCCCGGATTAGTTCCCGATGTCGAACCTTCTACTGACCGAGTTGGTTAAATTAAAACGCCATTCCTCTGATTTGACATGGCATAGAGAAGTTAATTTTTTTTTCTCACACATCGGTTGATACAAAACTTCATATATTGATATATTGTTTCGCCGAGATGGATTCTGTCTCAGTCGACAACCGGAGAGACTATTCAGAAGAGGACTTGGACAAAGTTGACCAGTCCCCTACTGGTCTCCATGCTGGGCTCCGCCGTATTCCTGACAAATTCCCACGTGTCGCACTACTAATCCTGGTCGTCGAAGTATGTTACCCCACCCACCACGTGTTGATGCCCACTTGTCCACTAACATCCACATATTAGCTTGGCGAACGCTTCACTTATTTTGGCCTCAGCGGTCCTATGCAAAACTATATCAAGTACGTGTTCATAAACGGGTGGATATTTTCTGTCCCGTGTCTAATTTCCTTTTTTTTCTTTAGTAACCCTTATGATCCTGGTTCCGGTCTCCCTGGCGCACTAGGTAGGGGACAAGCAACCGCGTCGGCTCTTGGAAACTTCTTTAAATTTTGGGCTTATGCCTCTACCATTATCGGAGCAATTGTTGCAGGTAATACATCTCCTGGTGGGACTTTGTAGTATTGTTGCTAATAGTCCACCAGATCAGTATGTCGGCAAATTTAAAGCTATCACTATCTCTCTTGGAATTTACATGGTCGGGTTGACCATCCTGGTTGCCACTGCGACACCAGCTGGCCTTAAGAGTGATGCTGGATTTGGAGGGCTGGTTACCGCAATGGTCATCATTGGCCTGGGAACAGGTGGAATCAAGGCTAACGTGACTCCCATGTGCGCTGAGCAATACCAAAATGCAGAGCCAGTTCTAAAAACCCTTAAATCGGGAGAGCGTGTGGTTGTTGATCCTGAATTGACTGTGCAGAGGCTCTTCATGTGGTTTTACTGGGTTGTCAACGTTGGCGCCCTCTCACCCTTGATCACAGTCAATGTTGAGGCAAAGCACTCTTTCTGGCTTGCCTACTTGATCCCATTGATGTAAGTTAGGATACGAGGCATGTAATTTACACCCGCTAATATCCTCTAGTGCAATCGTTCTCTCCGCTATCGTCTTCTTGTCCGGCCAGAAGCGATATGTCAAGACTCCTCCCCAGGGGTCTGCTATTATAGATGCATGCAAGGTCTTGAACATTGTCCGAAAGGAGAAGCATTTTGAAGACGCAAAGCCATCAGCTCTGGAGGCTTCAGGCCGTTTAAGCAGGTATCCATTTGCGTCTTCGCCGCGTTACACGGATGAATACGTCACAGACGTCCGCCGAGGCTTCAGAAGCTGCAGAGTAAGTTTGAATCCAATACTCCCATACTGGGTTATACTAACACATATTATAGATGTTCATATTCTTCCCATTCTATTTTGTCTGCTGGGTTCAGATTTGGAACAATCTTATCTCACAAGCTGGGCAAATGGCGTTGCATGGAACGCCGAACGATCTCCTGCAAAACCTTGACCCCATCGCTTTGTGTATCTTTATCCCACTCCTTGACTGTGAGTATTGTATTTACGTGATAAAAACAGAGGAAAAAGAAAATTTGCTAATTAATCTATCTTTAGTGGGACTTTATCCAGTGCTTCGCAAGTTCAAGATCAACTTCAGCCCAGTCCTCCGGATCTTCGCCGGTTTCCTTCTTGTCTCGATCTCCATGGTATACTCCAGCGTGCTACAGCATTACATTTATATATCTCCACCAAAAAGTATACATGTGTGGATTCAAGCCCCTGCGTATATCTTTGTTGCATTCTCCGAAGCCTTTGTTATTGTTACTGGCTTGGAACTTGCTTTCACACATGCCCCGAAAAAGTGAGTCAAATTTCCCCATGATACCGTCCAACTGAAACTAACCATAACCTAATCTAGTCTCCGATCTTTTATCTCCGCACTCTTCTGGCTCATGATTGGCATTGCAGCGGCGATCTGCATTGGTCTAAGCCCAGTGTCGCAAGATCCGTATATCCTTTGGATGTATGCATCTCTCGCAATTGTGGGCTTCGTGGCGGGATGTCTGTTTTACATTTGCTTCAGAAACAGTGACTCTCTTGATCTTGATACTGGACTCGTTGAAGGAGTTCCGGTTGAAGCAAATGGGCAACATGTTACACACGTTGCTGATCATGGCAAACACAGCGAGGTATAGAAGTCATGCTTTCAATTAATAACCTATATAATCAATATACTTCCAGATATTATTCTCACTGCTGTATTACTTATGTCACATGTCCAAGTAGAGCTTTGTTCGAATCGATAGCTTTTCTAGATCTTTGCCTTGACACCTCCCCATTCATTGTCGCGTCCGCCCGGTACTTTAACGTCTCCCTCTTTTTAAGATCTTTTTCGACATGTTTTGTAACTGGGCAAGATGACAGAAGTGGAATGCCTATACATTATGCGTGTAGGAACTTAGTAATTCCAACAAGAGCAACATGTTTTCCCTTTCAAATTCAAATTCAAATGATTATCATATCTCGAAATATTGCCCTAGATAAGACACCGCCAGCGTGGCAAATATGTCAAAAACCCAAATTCGCGAGATATGTCCTCTTGGTATTCATTTTCTCCACTGCCATCTGCTTTTACCAACCAACCTCAGATATACAACCTTCCCAATACAACCGAGATTGGAATCACGGGCACCAATCACAATCTATGCCGCCTGTATCCACATCCGAATGCCGCCAATCGGAGTGGCTACAAATCTATCGCCTCCGAGATAGGCATTTGGTTTACTCGCTAATCCCATCTAAATTGATCTAAATTGAATGCTAGACACGAGATAAGCAATATCAAATTAAATGAGTCAATGTGGGATCATCCTTAGAGATTTGGAAGTTTTTGCTGATTTGCATTTAAATTGATGACGCCCCAGACCTAAACGGATTGAGTCCTAGTCGTTTAATTGAGTTTCTCAACACGAAGTCACAATGAAGAGCGAATCTGTGGTAATTATTGGGTACGTGATCGAAAAATAATTCTCGTATTTTCAGATAGGAACTAACCTTTTCTCTTTGAAGGGCTGGCATCATTGGATTGAACGTTGCCCTGGTCCTTGCCGAGCAAGGCTATGCCAGTCAAACAACCATCATAGCCGAGCACCTCCCTGGTGATACATCCATAAACTATACTTCACCTTGGTAAGCCTGTTTGTCCTTGATGGTGCTTGTAGATACTTGTTCTTCCCGATAGTACTAACACGATCTAGGGCTGGTGCGAACTTCTCTGCTCTTTCTGCAAGCGATAAGAATGCCTTACGATGGGATCAACTCGGGTACAAGCACCTCCTCAAACTTGCCGCGCAAGACGGAATAAACGCATTTGTTCGCGAAACTCCTTCTACCGAGTACTGGGATGAAATGCCGTCGCGCACGAAGCTCGATTCCATGGCTAGCTATCTGAAGAATGTGAGTCGATTACCCAGAAGAGGCCACTTGCCTGGTCCAATTTAGATTGCTGATATAGAAAAACTCCAGTACAAAGAGATTCCCCAGCAAGACCTCCCGGAGGGTGTTGCATGTGGTGTCAAATTCACCACAGTAACTCTGAATGCCCCGATGCATATTCGCTATCTTCTTCAAAGACTCAGACAGCAGTACGGAGTGCGGGTCATCCGCAGAAAGGTCTCAGGTGTCACCTCGGGCTTCCTCAGTAAGGACACAAAAGTGGTATTTAACTGCACCGGTAATGCTGCTCGTACCCTGGAGGGAGTCGAGGACCCTAAGTGTTACCCTACCAGAGGCCAGATTTTACTTGCCAAGGCAACACACATTAACCAAAATGTGATGAGACACGGCAAGGATTATGAGACATACATTATCCCACGACCACACTCGAAGGGTAATGTCATTCTCGGTGGATATATGCAGAAAGGAGTCGGGTGAGTCAAATGGATCTAAAGGTTTTCTGGTATTTTAGTATGTGCTTAGAGGACTAATTATTATAGCTTGCCTGATACACTCGGGGATGAATCTGAGTCTATATTGTCCCGGACTAAGGCAATGCTACCTGAGCTCGAGTCGCCCGACACAGAGATCCTCGCAGCATTTGCAGGCTTGCGTCCATCACGAGAGGGAGGCGCTCGGGTTGCCAGTGAAGTTGTGCAGGTCGATGGTTCCGACCGGAAGGGCCTCGTTGTTCACAACTACGGCGCTGGAGGAACGGGATTCCAGGCTGGATATGGAATGGCAGTTGATGCGGTTGGATGCGCATTGGGCGAACTCGAAAAGCTTCAGGCCATCAAATCATCTCTTTAGGATTAGTCTCCGGGGTTGGTCAAAATGGCTGGTATAAGATCAGAAGTGCCTATTTATGTACTATATTAAAATTTCAAGTTTTACATTTTTCAGACTAGTTCGGCAGATTGATTTTACAATTTGCCCTTCCCTTCATCTCACCTATAAGGATAGACCATCTCAGATTAGATTGGTCAGAACAAATCAAGTTACAAATTGTTCATGAGCAAAAGAGGGAACTTACATGCCAAAAAAGTTCTTAAATGTACCCCATCCAGGATAAGTATCCGGGTCACCAGCCTTATGGGTCATAAAACTATGATCTTCAGTGGCACAAGTTGGCTCTCCTTGGGCGTTCATGGGTGTAACATTGGTATCGAGCAAGTTCTCACGTTGAATGAATTTGTTTTGCCCACGCGTCTTCTGATCTTGCAAAGCAAGGAAGTCACCCATTGTTTCTCTGGGATTGGTAGCCTGTGATATGAGGATTAGGACTAGTTAACGAATGATCACGAAGCTGCCCTCCCAACACTGAACCACATACCACTTTGTGACCTAGTCCTTCTTCTTTGCCACCTAACCAGAGCCTGTCGCCCCATCCTTCTCCACCGCCCACATTGTTGGCCGGGGTGGGTTGGGCACTACCTTCGGCGTCCGCGGTCGTTTGGCGGTTGAAGCTACTATCATCGCTCATTTTGATGTTATGGTTTGTTTGACCTGGATAAGAGGTTATTAGCAAAGATATCGATATTAGAAGCTAGAAGATGCTCCACGTCATAAATTTATGAGGGAAGTGGGGGGTATAAGTCGGCATTGTAATAAGAACTTTGTATACTCACGATGTCTTTATTGAGGGAATCCCGTTCGGTGGTTGTAACTCCTAAGGTTTAATTTGTACATATAATCGGTATTTAAGCTGAAGTTGAATTCGTGTTTATATACGGCCCTGACCTAATCCTTGCCACTACCCCGGATGAAGTCATGATGAGTATATATCGCTCCCTGTGATTGGTTCACCATCGACCTAAGAACGTGTAACAATAGTAACCACAGCCTAGGCAGACTCATGTGCAGTTGTGTTGTAGATTCTCACCATCTACAATAGAAATTGTTTTATCTGCTCGCACGATATAGAAACCCCTCATGATAAACTCGCCCTTGTAATGAAATGAGCCAGAGAAAAAGTCTCATAATACTACGGAGTACATTCTTCCAGATTACATTGACTGAATGCAGCCTGGATTGGCATACTGTATGGCGATGCAGTATTATGCAGTTTGAAAAAGTTAGTGATACAGCTGGCAAGCTGCATGAAAGTTCTAATCTCAATTCTGTGGCAGATTAAGATTCCTGTCATGCAGGAAATACATGGCGAGTCACGATGCCAAGTTGGGGTTAGCTTTGAAATCCAAATTCTTTGTTAATTCATGAGAATCAACTGCGATTCTCAACAGAAAGCACCCCCTTTCACATTTTCTCGGATGTCTACCACTTTCATGCTCATTCTCTTCAGTGGGGGGTGCTGACTCGGGTTGCGAGTAGCGAGACCTTTTCCCGGCTCTTACATTCATCACACAATCACAATGCATGCTGTCCCGCTGCAGGTTGATACCATTGCGCCACGAGTATAACTTTCTTTATCTATGTTGGAAGTGACCCGCCAGATCCGAGGTAGTAATAAGCAGTAGTACACCAATTAGCGCAGAAATGAACAAGGCCTCTAGAACCAGCATCACCCTTAAAGGTTGCTAATAGACCTATAAAGCCCACAAATTAATTAGGCTTTAGGCCTAGAACTCCGGCCCATTACGGCCTATAGTGTGGGCCTATTTCGTGCGTAATTAGTGCAAATAGGCCCACCTCCCTGACTATATAATAGATGAATTTGTATAAGTTTCTTTCTGTATTTCCCCTAGTTATTCGTGTTGGAATATAACAAGCCAAGTTTTCTACTATCATAACATGCGATTAGGGTATCTACTACTTTGGAATTTGATGCATATTTACTTGTGTTGATTCACAAAGGCAACAACCCTGCCTTCCAGTTTCCAGCGAACTGCTCATTTTTTGCGAGGATGCTCTAGATCATACCGAACCACTCTGAAAGTTGGCCAAATCTGTAACAAGACGGCACCAACCATCATGCACCCCGCAAAGATTTGAGCATGCAAAAACTCTGCAGTATCAAGATTTACCAAAGCACCTGCAATCGGTGTTCCAGCAAGCGCGCCAAAAGACGATATCCCCCACATCATGCCCAAACGAGTCCCCAAAAAGCTCGAATCCTGACAGAAAATCGGATGTGCCACAATAGAAGTTGGCGCTGTAACCAACACACCACTGAGAGCTCCCCAATAGCATGCCCAAACTATAAACCCAGCCATACCGGTAGCCGCAATCCAAGTGAACATAGCAATGGCCGACGCAGTCACAGAAAATATCAGGATCCCAATGGGCTTGATATATTTCACAAGTAGGTATGGAACGACACGACCAATGACCGATGTGCCGTTGACAATAGCAACCATATAAAAGCTAAAATCGGTAGTGGTATGCACCACAGTGCGGGCATAGGAGGCGATATAGAAAATCGGCACGTAGTATGCGAGCATGACACACGTGAGCGAAAGCGAGAACATCATAAACGACGGCTCGCGGAAGGCTTTCCAGTCGATAAGACTTCTTGCATGGGCTCTTTGGCCTGGTTGTCGACACAAGATTAGACAAGCTACAATAGCAAGAAATAAGCTGATGAAGCCGATGCAGCGGACTGCCCACGGGAACCCGATCTTGGGCTGCAGTTGGCGGAACATGACTGGGAAAATGACGGCCCCCACGCTAGACCCAATTGAAGCGCAGCCGATGGCGATTGGGCGTTTTGTGGTGAAACTCGTGGAGATGACCACGAGGGCTGGGATGTAGGAAATGCCGCCTCCCATTCCGACGCAAAATCCTTGCGCGAGTAATACCTGTTCTTGTCAGAAAATGTGTTTCTCTAATGTTGTACTTTCTAGATTTACCTGATAGTATGAAGTGGCGAGACTCGTCATCATCATTCCGAATACAGTCAAGAAACTTCCGGATATAATCAGAGGGCGCAAATATCCAATATCGACTAATGGCCCCGTAGCAAGACCAACCATTGGAATTAGAGTGGCTTGGATACTGCCCACCCATGAGATTGCGGATGGCGTCTCATTTGGTAGAAGCTCTGTCTGGTAATACTCTTGAAAAGCGCCATAAGTCGTTAGCAGGCCCCTAAAACAAAGATTAGCTTGACGTGTGCATAATATGATAACAATGTAAGCTAACCAAGAGTTCACGAAAACACAGAATCCCGCAAGAACATTTAACCATGCATCAAGGCCCCCGTTGACTCTTTTTTTGGGCTGTTCGTGTTCATGATTTTCGGGCGCCAAGTTTCCCGATGCGGGTGGTAAATGTGGTTGGGCGCCATGTGTCTCCTCCGTTGAACCCATTTTGATATATTTTTTGCCATTATGTATCAAAGAAGAACAGTTACGAGTTATAACAGTTATAAAGAAGAGAACCCTTTTCACCCCCAACACTCCACTGTGGGGAAAACTGGGGTTTCTATTAGTCACGAACTTCTTTCGGTTCGACCGGCACTGGGTAACCGAGCTCTACCGATTTGGTTGGCTGTTAGGATATGGATGATTTATGTCCAGCTACTCCAAATGGGACGGGGAACTCCGATATTCCGAATGGTGAGCCTCGATGGTCTTCACTATATCTACTTGGGAGCATTGCATATCATATCCTTCTGTTTCCGGAATATATATCGCATCGTTGCTCTTCATAGCTCGCTTGGAGATTTAAGTGTGTGTATCTACATATTCTATTATAATATGCTTGCTTTCACATTTCGATCCTGTAAATATTTATCCAGTATAACCGTTTTGTTCTCGGAGAATTTCTTGGCTGCATGCTCCGATTTAGTGTCAGTTGACGCGAGACTGGACCAATCAAATCTACATCGGGGAGAAAACACCTATAAATTGACAATCTTCGTTCTATATGAGCAATTGAAAGGGTTTTGTCGCCTTCGACCTTGTGAATTCCATCACCGGTTTACATCGTGGCATTTTCTGAATAATTCTAGACAACAATGTTGTCGCTCAAGACGTTATGTGACTAGCTGCTGATTTCCTGAGAATTTCTGTTGCTGATAGTCCAAACACCTACCCTTTAGCTGTCAGTGCTGCCTAGATATAGAAAGACATCAGATACATAGATGGATCTATTGCTTAATCACGTCAGCACACTCCACCTCCACATCCATCTACTCCATGCTACACCCCAAAATAGGTACATCATATCGCAAGACGGCGGTCTCCCATTATAGATTGCTGGAGATCTCCGGTTGTTTGGGGATTGCTCATCTTGTTCAGTATCGCACCTTTCACTACAGCGTTGAGGTGATCCCTATATCGGAACGCCCGCTCCAAATTGGATTGTGCCTCTGTGCCCTGTCTAATATAAACGTTGTTCGCAGATCCAAAGCTCGACCATTTGGAAGACATCAGATCTCACGTTCATGGATCATCCCATCTTTTCTCATTTACCCGTGACAAATAGAGAATATGACTTTGCCTAGAATGGATAGCGTAAACAAAGAACATGTCTATGTGCTACGCAATGTGGTCAATTATAAATAGGCAGTGAGATTGACTAAACTAGCCCTCATGAAAGGTAAATACAGAGGAGAGCTTATGGAATCTATAAGCATACCTGTTGTAGCTACTGGCTACCAGAAGAGAAAGAAGCAAAATCCGTGTGGTTCAATCTTGGGAAAGCAGGGTATTTATATCCTGAATCTGACAAACAAGCCCTCAGTATATAAGAAAACAACGGGAGATAGGATCAAGAATGACCTTTGGAGTTTTCTTTTATGCCTTTACATAAAAAACTAGCAATCCTTTCACTTCACATTTGGGTTTCTATTTCTTCTCGCCCACATTCTTGACATGATCCCCTTACCCTCTTTTCATCATGGAGAAAACCGTTTCTACCACCAAAACAACCAGCACACGAGGGGAATGAAGCCAGGTGACCAACTGTTAAAAATCAACTTTATACGAGAAGCAGTTATCTGTAACCATTGCCAGCGGTGTTTTAAGGCTCGCGATGAATCCGAATCGGTATAGATCTATTAGATCTTCGATGTCGTCACGATCACGTTATATATTTATTTGAGGGGCCTTCTTTCGGCTCTATGAAGGCGTCATGGGGCATGCTTTTGGATTTCTTGCGGTGTTGAAGTGAGTTTCGGACTTCTTGTTGAGCGAAGAGGATGAGAACAGTTGACTGATGATAATCCAATGGAAAGACGTCCAACCCGCCTGAAGAATCTATACTTCTCAATTCAACCTCGCTGTGATGTGTTTCGGTGACATCATGAAGTCACTCTAGGTATAACCTGGGAGGGAGTTGTATTGCAAGCCATCAAAGAATTTGGGATTTCTAAGGAACCGGATTATTTCCACAACCCAGTTACTTTTGGTAGCAGAATGGAGGGATCCTAGACCAGGGACTCATCGATTAGATATAAAGAGTGCTGCCATGCCAGTTCGCAACCTCTATGCCGCCTTCGACTATTTTCTTCTACACAAGCACGATGGATCGGTATCGTTGAGCTATATACTACACATCTCGCACGGGACCACCTCCCTTTTATATGTGCAGGCGTCGAAGTGGGTGTCGCCAGGATCTCAAGTGAAGATAAATGGGTGTCAGCTTTATACCTACTACACTTTCTACTTCCTCCATCTACAGCTCGCCATGAGGCATTTGTAGTGCGGCTTACCATTCGCTGTCACTTCTGAGTCGCTGTCTCTATCTCTTATTTCAGCTGATTGCAAGAAGCGCTAGCTATGCGAGATGCAATTTGGCTGACACAGCTGTTAATGGAGATTGGCATTCCTGGGTTTCTTCAGAGGCATATTTGTATCTATGCGCATAACAATGGTGTAATTGCATTGGCATCGAACCCCGGGTTAAATGCGACCACGAAGCATATTGCCATACGGTATCACCGGTTTTGTGAAAAAGTCACCGCTGGCACAGTCAAATTCACTGAGAACCCCACTGCGCCGCAGATGGATCGACGAAACCCCTCGGCAAGATCATGTTCAGGAATAGGTGGCGCATATGGGTTTTATGGTTTATAAAATTGCACTGCCACACTGGATTTCGGGTTATATACAAAAAGATTTGGGGGGGGATTTGATAGCTTACAAACTGGTTTTCACATGGATGAATAGTTAATCAAACCTACACTGGCGAGTGCAGGACTGATTGTGGCGGAGGTGCAAAAGGACATACACAAAGGATATCTAAATGTAGAAAATCGTATGCATAAAACCCGTTATATCATCACCGAGGACAGAAGCCATAAGCGGCCGACTATGCTTATTCTAAAATCAACAAGAAACAAAACTGTAACCAATGTCTTAATTCCAGAAAGCATCGGTCGCTATGAGCGGCAATATACGTATATGTAATGCTGGCGGACTTTCGCATCTGAGCCACCAATCAAGGCTTTAAAACAGGCGGGATATCAAATTGCAACTGAGGGAAACAGGAGTCTGTTCGTGTCGTGAATGCAGAAAGAAAATCGTAAAAACCAATGATCACAAAACCCCCCAAAATCATTTTCCAAATGAAACATTTTATCACTCATCCTCAAACTGGTCTGCCCAAGTTCCAGTGATAGGTGAAAATGTAGAGTCCAATTTGTCCATTGCGGATTGTGGCTTGGAAGCTGCAGGGGCACTTTCGGTTTCAGCTTTAGACTCGACTTTAGTCTCAGTCTTAACCTTAGTCTCCGGCGTGGGAGCAGGTTTAGTCTCAGTCTTCTTCGTCTCAGTCTTCTTGGGTGCCTCAGGCAAAGCAGGGAATGCACTCTTATCATCCAGCCCCGGCGCAGCAGGACTCTCTGTTGCAAATATACTGTCAGCTAAGCCCTTGCGTGGCCGATCCCCCTGTGGGGTACGCGGGGATCCACGACCACGGCCACCCCGACCACCGCGTCCACGACCACGGTTACTACCGGAGTGATCGGCAGCCTCTTCTGAGTGGGCCTCTTCAAAGTCTCGTCGCACGGCGCCAGACACGCCACCGTGCATACCGCGTCGGAATTGACTGCCTCCACCGCGGGGGTCATAATCTTCCTCGCGTTTCTGCGAGTCCCACTCACGGCCCGTCTGAGCCTTGAGTTTCCGCTGTCTGTTTTTTTCACGTTCACTATCCATCACGCGGCGGTGCGCGAGTTCCTCACGACGTTTCTTCGCCGCTTCCTGCTCGCGCTCCATGAACGACGCCTGGTCAGCTTCGGCGCGAGCGTGAGCAGCAGCCTTCTTTACAGCGTTCTCCTTGGCTGCAGCAATGCGTTTGGACAGTTCTTCTTCGGTGAGTTTAGGCTGGAAGTAAACAGTCAGCTTGTGTACTTTGGTTATCTTGGCAAGAGATGCACTACACACCTTTCTCAAACCACCAGTGGCACTCCGATCACCACGAACAGCTGGCACACGCTGAGCCTCGGCGCCATTCGCAGCTAGATCCTCACCATTACCCTCTTCAACCGGATCGGTCTCCTCCTTAGGTTCTTTAGGCTCAACGGGCTTCTCGGTCTTCTCGGGCTTCGACTTCGAAGAACCAGCCTCGCGCGCATCGGCAGCAGGCGCATTAACATGATTCTTTTTGCGCGGAGAGCTTTCTGATCGCTTTTGGTCTGACTCCCGTCCACCGCGCCCTCCTTTACCCCGACCCCGTCGTCCCCGGCCTCGTTCACCGCCACGGCCCCGCTGCGGAGTCTCCCCACGTGGAACTGGCTGCTCGGGAGCTGGCTTCTCAGGTACCTGTACCTCCTGTGACTCTGGCTCTGGCTCGGGGGTAATGACCTCTGTCTGCGCCTGCTGTTCTTCTGTGGAGATCGGGATAATCTCGTCGTCGAATAGGTCGTCGGCGCCGCGAGTCTGTGCGAACTGGTCCATCTCTGGGTCTGCCATTGCGATTGGGACTGGAGAATTGTACTGTTAGGTCGGACAGGTCACGGGTAGGCTGTGAAATCGAAACTCGAGAGTGCGCGGGATTCTCACTGCTATATACGTAACGCGACCCGAGGGGTAGCTTCGATGGGGTGCCTCAAATGGTGATCCGTGCGCAGGATAGTGGGGGGTAGTAATATATTGCCGGCTTTCAAAATTTGCAATGATTCATATAAAAGTAATGTATAAGGGAGAAATGATCAGCGGAAATATAGAGGTCACACAGCTCAACTGATCTGCAATCCAGCTGGGGCAGGCTGCTAGGCGGTCTGCTATTGCCCCGGAGCCCATTGTTTTTGCCGATGAATTCCGTCTATTTTCTGCCGGTATGACGTCCTGGCAAACTTGTTTACATACTGTGTACATCCTCTGTATATATGAGCGGAATGGAATCGACCAAATCTAACAATAGTTCGATGGAATTTATAGGTAGGCGGAATGAATTATATACACACAACTGGCAAGCAAGCCTAAACACACTGCCAAGCGTTCTCATCGGTGTAGTTTCCAGGGCCCCTGAATACATTGCGTCGAGGCCAGCGGCAGTGCTTGCGTCTGTACTCGACCTTAGAGCCAGGTCCGTTGGAGAACTTAGCACCACGAACAGTCTCTGGTGCCTTGCCTTCCTCGACCCACCGCACCATTGCCATAAGAACATTATCCTCGGGATTGGTCCCATCGTAAGTATCGAGTCCCTGGCCGATACCATAGGCACCATCGCCCCCGCCGCAATGGCCCATACCGCTAATTTGGAAGAAGCGGTAGAACTCATCTAACTTATTGGGCGGTAGTTTCATGGTGTTTGACACGTGAGAGTAGTACATCTTGGAGTCTTCGGAGCTAATCAGCTGGTCTTGGAGGCCATGGTAGTGCAAGATCTTGCCACCGGTCTTTTTGAATGGAGAGATATCACCTTCCCACGTTTGTATGTTGTATGGGTTCTGAGCGAGAGCTACAGCAGCATCTTTCAATGTGAAGTTGGCCCCGCTCCAGGACGGGTTGCTGTAGACGACGTAACGATACCAATCTTCGCTGTATGGGAACGGTGTGCCACTGTACATTATAGGCGCGGCGAGGATTTCAGAACCAGGCTGCATGCGGGGATATAGCAGGGTGCCATTGATTCCATACAATGGTGATAGCACTTGCTGGGCGGTATTCACTTGGGCACTTGTGAGACAGCTTGTTTTGTTTTTAGCACTGGGGTCACAAGTCAATGTTTCCAGAACAGGGCGGCAGAGATCGGGATCTTCGATGATTCCATCTTCGGCACCATCAATAGCATCACACTGGCGGAGGATCTCTTCGTGGACAATCTCCCATTCATCTGTAGACAGAAACGTGTCGGAAGTTGGCGAGCCAGTGAAAGTATAAAAACGTGCGCTCCATGAAAATAGGTTGATTAGGTTTATGGCGGGGGCACCAGCAACCACTCCGTCAAAGTCGTTAGGGTATTTTTGAACAGACTTCCAACCTTGGCGGCCACCAGTCGAGCATCCGAGGTAGTAGCTCTTCTTGAAGCCCTCATCGTAGAATTGCTTGGTAAGCTCCTTGCCGATCACAACTCCTGTGTGAACGGAACGGTATGCATAATCTTTGACTACCTCAGGTTTGTGGTAGAAAGGCTTTCCTGAGGTACCATTGTGTCCGTTGTTGGCTCCGACAGTGGCAAACCCTAGTTGTGCGGTGTATGCGAGGTCATAGTATTGAATGCCTACATTGAGATTAGCTTGTCTCAAGATGCTAGGGTTGGAAATAACGCTTACACCCGGAGATACCACCATTTCCGGTGCTCAAAAAACGACCCTTATATTCACGAGGGAACCAAGCCTCTAGCGTGATCTCGCTGCTGTTCGAGGTTGACACGGCCATAGCGACTCGGCACAGATCTACCGAGACGGCCTGGCTCGTTCTACCACAGCTAGGCGGATTGTCTACTAAGGATAGGTTGGTGCCTCCCTGGATAAACTCGGCAAAGTTGACTTTAACATTGGGAATGTCGATTTGATCACCAAAATTGATACATTTTGATTGAAAGGCATCTTGGCTAGCCAGGGCAAGTGAGCCCATGACCGCCAACAAAGGCCATGAATGAAAACGAGTCATGTTGAGGAAAGACCGTGGAAAATGGTCAGGCTGCGATATCTGCAGACCAGCGGCCTTTAATAGTTGTCTATTTGCTCCGAGGTATGTTTCCTGTTCTCATGACGGCGGTATCACCACGTATCATATACAGACCTTGAGACGGCAAATAATAAAACTAGAAATTCCCGAAGGATCAATCCTGCAGATCCATGACGAAAAGGCTCAAATATCCGAGGTTTGACCGAGTACCTACTGAGTGGGGATTAGAGGCAAGAGCGAATGAGCAAGTGCCATGATGTGGAGAGAATAGCAGATAACACGGCCGACCGAGCACCGAAAAGGCGAAGTAGACGAAACAGCGTGGTGATTACAAGGAGAAGCCGACAATAGCAAACGGAATTCGTAATTCCCTCAAGTCGGAAAATCCGGGGATCTCCACAAATGCGGAGAACACCCCTATTTCGGTGCATGGCTGTTGGAATCGGCACTTCTGAGTATGTTGTAGTACCTGTATCTTGTAATGTACCTACATACATGTAAATATTAATTAAAGCTAATGTAACGGAGACTAATCTTGAAGGTTCGTATCTTGCCGTGTCACTTTGATTTGGATCGTAAATATACATTTCGACATTCACATAGAGATTGCTACGTCTGATCTGCGCTCTATCATACATTGTAGATCCCGATCTCACACTAGCATGACGTGAGGTATCTTTTGTAAAATATTTACCTAGTCCACGGGTCCACCAAGCTCTAGACTATGTTTATCAGCGTGTTTTCGGTGGCCGGAGCTGCACAACTGAGATAATATTTACAACTGACTTTTACACAGTTGTTGGAGAACCTCGTTGATCAATCGAACATTAGATACCAGTGGTTCGCAGGTCAATATGATCGTCTCAAACCCGTATCATTGCAACACAAAGGCTGCTGGCAAGACATATTCAGATGCACTTAGAAGAACCTAGGCTATTTAGATAGTAACGAAATAGTCAAAGTATCCAGCGGAGACCAACCGCCAGTCGCAGAAGGACCCATTCTTGGCCACTATACATGATTGTCAGTAACAAACAAGATGCGTGGGTAAATACTGGTGTCTACCAACCGGTATTGGTACAGCTCTTCTGCAAGGGCTTCCAGGCTGTCAGCTTGGTCCTCAAATCCCACACGAGTAGGATCATAGTACTTCAGTAGAGCAACAAGCCTCTGATTCATCACGAGTTCCCTATCTCTGAACCTCGCCTTCTTGTCCTGCACAGCCTTAGCTTGCTCTGAAGTTGGTATGTCTCGGAGAATCGTGCGCAGGGAGAATCGTGCGCAGCCGGGTTTTGTAGGCCAGTGATTTTGCGCCCATCCGATTCTTGAGCCCAGCCATCTCCTTCCCCTGTGCTCTCGGTTTACTCATAGAGGTTTCCATATCCCTTGTGAGAGCCTCGATCGTTCGGGCCGGCATCCTTATTCGGAACTAGGTAGAAAGGACTAGATCGACGTTGCTGCCAAGGAGATAAACGCGACGCCGATCATCGGGAACGCAACAAAGAGAATGTACTCGTTCATGATAGAAGATTTGGGGTAATAGAAATGGGTAAGTGATTGAGTGATTGAGTGATTGTGAATTAAAGACGAGGAAGCAATTCTGGAGCCTCAGACATAATTAGAAAGATCTACCCAGTTCCTCCCTTGGTTTTCTCTCCCCTATTTCACTTCCTTGTTTCTCATACAACCTGCAAGGATGAAAAGAGAAATGAAGGAATTTCACTTCGCACACGATCTAAAAGGTTGATCTTATCCCAGGCCTACTGACCTCACGAATGATATCAGCAGCCCATCCAGCGACCGAATACACCGTCACAATTGGGTTTGCATTGGCTACAAGCAGGTAAATACTCGCATCGACAGACTGCAATAATTGCTGCAAAGCTGGAGCTGCGGTTAGATGACGCAAGTTTTGGACATGGCGGGCCAGGATCTCTATATCCAGATTATCGCTGAAGTATCGGATCTCAATGGCGGATATCTCAGTTGGATCTGCCGATGTGATATAACTACCCCCAATCGGCAAGGGGAAACTGTTAGAACGCCCAGGATCACCATGTTCCTGGTATTGCAGCCACGAAGAGGACCGCAGAGGCTTCATCCGGACTCCCTAGTATTGATCGAATGACCCGTTCAGCTAAACCCACAGACTTAGCGCGTTCAGTAAACAACTGACTTTTCTCCTATTGGTTGAGGCGTGCAAATGTCACACCCTTGAATCCAAGACATATCCTTTCGGAGTTTGGGCGAGGGTTGTGGGGAACAGGAACCATGCTTGTCACTTTGTTCTGGAGGCTCTCACCCACCGCTGGTTGACATTGACCAAGGAGATCCTGGGACGGTTCAATCTATATTTGTCGCCAATTTCCGACAGCTCTAGTAGTTTCCTGGGTTAATATGATGTGGGCTAACTCTCTCCTTGTCTCCTTGGCTCGAGTATCAGATACAACAAACCTTGGGGACAACCACCAATCCGGCTATTCTTCCGCCTATAATGGGATATTCGGTAGTGGGTAGGATATTTGGGCACGTCATGTGCAAAGAATCTTTGTTCAATATTACTGTGTGGTGTTAAAATATCGATTTTGGGGATATAGGTAGCCCATATATATATATATATAAAGACAGACCAGCCAGGCACCTGGGTAGCCAACCACCGTTAGGCACCGAAGGACCATTTCCAACAAGACTGGATAGGTAGTGTTGGCCATTCTTACTGATCATTACCACTTGGCTTCTGCATACAAGCCCAGTTCCTAATTCTTTATGGCTACTACAATGGAGGGGGAAAAGAAGAGGAAGAACCATGATCATTCGAGCTAGCCAACTTAGGGCAATTATATTTTCCAAAAGCTATCCAAAAAAAAAAAAAAAAAGGCTGAGTCTACTAACAAACAAGCAGCTACGGGGATGATCCAACCATAGACAATGGAGAGCATTCATAACGTATTTCACAACCAAGCCGCCCGCCCTAGCTCTACATTTTAAATTTAAATGCATTTATCTTCATCAAAACGCCATAAGATTAAATATAGTAAAATACATCATCTTTCTGGACACCTATTTATTTTATGCCCTGTTTTCTTACACCCACTACAACGTTGCGGGCCCCGCACAGATGGATGTAAACCCGGCGATGCAGCCCGACGCCCGGAGGGGGGGTGCTCTCCTATCGCTTCCACCGTCTCAGTAATCAATTGAGAGGCTTCTTGAACTGAGAAGGCTGATTCGGCTGGTATCTGCGTTTGGGAACTAGGCAGTTCCTGCTTATTCTTCTCGATGGCTGTGCGTAAATCACATATTGCTCGCTCAAGAACTGCGGCAGATTGCATGGCGGTTTGGGAGGCCTTTAATACTCGATTCATGGCGGAATCCAGCGGGTTTGGTGGGCTCCGTGATCTTATACGAAGCAAATGACGCCTTTTAAGGAAATTCGTGGCCCAGTTTTTGCCGACCGAAAGAACTGAGGTAGTTCCACGCTTCTGAAGAATAAGATCCGCCATTTCTCGTACCATAGAGGGCTGAGGTGCTGCTCCACGAGACTCCATAGAGATAATCCATTTCTCAAGAGATTCCTCTTCAAGTTCAGTCAATTTATGACAATTGGCACGTGTAGTACTTCGTTGGGTGTGGCCGGAGAGGCGGTTGCGTAAGGTTGTACATGGTACGTCAAAACGGCGCGCCGCCTCACGAGTTGAAGAGATTTCTTGATTTTTGAGAGCTTGGATAGCTAATAAAATCCTATCCTCTTGCTCTGATAAATTTTTAGAGCTTTGGGAGCGAATTGGTGGCATGGTGGGTGGTTGAATTGACTAAGTGCTAATTCCTGGACGCGGTTTGGCTGTGGTGGGTGGCTCGCATGTGAAATACCAGCCATGTACGGAGTATACATCAACCAATAAGACACTCGCTCCAGCCGCTATAGCCGACCCCACCTCTCCGCAATCCCTTCGGAGATTCCGCCGAGGCTCCAAGCATATCATTGGCAATCTCCCTGTTGGAAAACTTCAGTTCACTCTTGGAAATTACAACATGTCTGTGGATGACACTGCCAGAGAGCCCGCATCCGAGCAGACGCCCCTCCTTCGGAATGCGCCCGATGCCAATGAGAATACCCCACTTCCCCAGGAACCCAGTACCAAAGAGCTGATTTGGATCCTCGGAAGCATTTGGCTCGGTGTCTTCCTGGCTGCTCTCGGTATGGAGTCGGACTCTTTCACGAAAAACAAAGATTGCTAACTTTAACTTTCATCATAGATACAACGATCGTCGCGACGCTCTCCGCACCCATCTCTTCGTCCTTCAACTCATTCTCACTGCTCTCGTGGCTAGCCACTTCTTATCTGATCTCCAATGCTGCCTGTCAGCCTCTCAGTGGCCGATTGACTGATATTTACTCTCGTCGCTGGGGGCTTGTGTTCTCCAATGTTTTCTTCGCCCTTGGCAACTTGATCTGCGGCCTGGCAAGAGCGCAATGGGTTATCATCCTTGGTCGCGTCGTGGCAGGTGTCGGAGGAGGTGGTCTTACCGCGATCTCGACCTTCGTCACTTCTGACCTGATCCCTCTCCGCAAGCGAGGCATCTGGCAGGGCATCGGAAACATCTGCTACGGTGCGGGCATGGGACTTGGAGGTGTATTTGGCGGGTGGATCAACGACACTCTGGGATGGAGATGGGCGTTTTTGCTCCAGGTTCCCTTCCTGATCATCTCGTGCATTCTAGTCGCAATTAAAGTCGACATTCCCGTGAAAGAGTCCGATACCGCGCGCATCAAACGCGTTGATTTCCTCGGCGCTATCACTCTGGTTCTGACACTAGTCACATTATTGCTTGGCCTCAACACCGGCGGAAACCAGGTGCCTTGGGCCCACCCTCTAGTGCTGGCATCACTGGTTTCCTCTGCAGTCTTCCTAGGTCTGTTCATCTACGTGGAAGCCATGGTTGCTTCTGAGCCTGTCATTCCCGTGCGCCTTCTACTAAACCGCACCGTGGCAGCTGCTTGTCTAACCAATTGGTTCGGTACCATGGCCGTATTTGGCCTCCTCTTTTACCTACCTGTGTACTTCCAGGTACAGGGATTCTCTGCGACTGCTGCCGGGGCGCGATTGATCCCGCAGGCGGTTGGCACCTCGATTGGCTCATTGGGGTCGGGTCTTATCATGCGTGCCAGCGGTCGGTATGCATTCCTCAATTACGTTGCCATGGCTATTCAGGTGCTATCCGCTGGCCTCATCTGCACTTTAAATCTCTACACGCCCGTGGGACTACCGTTCCTTTATTTCTTCCTGGGTGGTACATCCTACGGTAGCATGCTAACCATCACCCTGGTGGCGCTCATCTCTTCTGTAGACCACCAGCACCATGCGGTTGTGACATCTGCTTCGTATGCCTTCCGCAGCACTGGAAGTACGATTGGTATCACGGTTGCTTCGGCTGTCTTCCAGAACACCCTAAAGCTTGGGCTTTGGTCTCGACTCGGTGAGCGCGAGGACGCCAAGGAGCTGATTGGCCGGCTTCGAGATAACTTAGACGAGATTTGGAAGATGCCCGCAGATCTTACACCCGGAGTGCTTGACGCATACATGGCCTCCTTGCGGGCGGTATTCGTGACATTGTTGGGCGTGGCCGTCCTGGGAGCATTGACGAGTCTTGCTATGAGAGAGCACAAGCTGCATAACAATCTGGCCCGACGATAGAGTGAGCATTCATTTGGGCATAGAAAAATGCCTGAGTATTTGTTATATAGATCAGCATGTATATAAAGCACCTCCGGATTGATCTAGTTCAACTCTTTTGCGTCGCAGTGGCGGGATTCGCATTTAAATAATGAACCGACATGAGCTCGATAAGTCAGCAGCAGTAATCTACAGGAACAGCCCAATAGAAAAGCATGAAACAAGTATTTCTGAAAGTTGAACGGAGCTGAAGTTATACCAAGAGCATGTTGATCTTAGGCATTGACCGCTTCTGCCCAACAACTGGCCAATCAACCTGGACTCCTACTGTCCGGCCCCGCCTTTAACCGCCGAAGACCTTCGAACTTGAATTTTGGCTCTTTGTCATTGGTCGATTTCCGCCTTCAACGGATCTCGGCCTTTTTTTCGCTGTGAAACGACACGGTTCATTCGGCAGCTAATCACGTCCGGCGTGGCAAAGACGTGGCGACGCATCCAGACAACTCAACGACCTCACCGCTCGAGGAAACCCAGTTGATCGCCGTTGCACAAAATATAGCGACAGGCTCGATTTCAATTCCTGGGTTGCATGATTGGGCTCTGATCAGACCACCAGTCCGATAACTTATCTCTACGTACAGTACGGAAGTCCCCAATTGATCTTGTTTCATCGCCTCTCGACCTCGATTCTCTTCTACTATTTGCGCCTACCTATACTGTCCCTCGAGACTTCTTCGATCCGACCGCCGTATCCTCACACAGTTCAGCTCGCCCTATCGGTCACATTGGCATGGCAGTGGGATTTCGATATAATACCTCACCGACTACAAAAGGGAATAGCATTACAAAGGGGTCGTGGTCAAGTGATATGGAGGTGGATGGAGGCTGTAAGGAAACCGTGATTGGAGGCAAAGCGGTGCAAAATGCGACATCATCCCAACCTCGGCGCCGCCGATTGCTCTTGTCGACGGATAGTGCTTTCGCCGACACCGTCCTCCCGTCCCTCGTTCAGAACCCATACATCGAACTACGACTGATCACAGACGAACCATCCGCTTTGCTCACGGGCACCAACAAAATCCCCCACTATATGGATACAGTCGACAGCCAAACATTTGATAAGAAAACCGGCGCGCGGAAATGGCTCAAAGCGAAGACAGCGGAACTATGCGAATGGGCGGACATGCTGTTAGTTGCACCTATCGATGCCGGAGCTCTCGGGGCGATGCTGGCTGGCTTGACGAATACCTTGACGTTGGCGCTTCTTCGTGGCTGGGTCTCGAAGAAACCTGTGATCCTCATTCCCGGAATGACGGTGTCGGAATGGGACCACCCGCTCAGCACTCGGCAACTCGATGAAATAAGTCGTTTTTGGCCTTGGATTCGCACCGTTAAACCTGTGCTCTGGAAGTCGAGCGGGCCTGAAGACCTGACAATACTACCATGGGACGGGCTGAAGGAGTTACACCAGACACTGGAGACAACATTAAAATTACCCCCGTGGGAAGCTACCCTGTCGACCAGAACAATCGCCCATGGCGCCACGGTCCCAGCTAAAACTGCATCAAAATCTACATCTGCAAATGCCACCGGCTCCACACCACAGACGAAACATACGGGCAATACCGATTTTTTACCTTTGGAAATATGGCTGAATGTCTTTGAGGATCAACTAAGAGACTGGGAAACAGCGAAAGCCGTGGGCATTCCTACTCATCTCCCCGTCCCTCAAGAATGGCAGAGCCATCTACCCAAAATGTCCACTACTGCCACACTCGAATATACTATCTTGCGAGGATCCTTCGCAGCAATCAAAAAGCGCATTGATGCCTTACCTCGCTGGAAACCGCTCTCCGATCTCGCTTGCCACCTCATTGTCAAATTCTCCCGTACCGATATCCTCTCTTATCTCACCGAAAACCACCTGGACCTCCTCTGGACAACCTCTCGACTCACAAATATCCCATACCGAGCATCCGCCATCTATGGCAACCCGAACGTACTGACATGGTGGCGCGATGCGCCCGCTCTCCCAAACAAAGAGTACATGGCCGACGCCATGGACGGCGCCTCCCGAGCCGGGTTCATCGACGTACTAGATTGGTGGCTCCACTCAGGGCTCCCACTACGATACAGCGAGCGCGCCCTCGAAGCCGCCAGCGCCGAGGGTCGCGTCCCTGTACTCGACTGGTGGAAAACCGCCTCCGCCAACGCCCCACTGTCCAACCCCTTACCTCTCAAAGTCGGCAAATCCGTCCTACTCGCAGCGCAGTCAGGTCGCACTGAATCTCTTGCTTGGTGGGACGCATCAGGGATCCCATACAGCCATGCCGAGAACGTTGCCCGTATCGCGAGCACGCACGGCCATGTCCATGTCCTTGAATTCTGGTATAAACTCAAGGGCCCGAAGATGATCTTCGATAACCAGGTGCTGGTTGGCCCGACGAAGAACGGCCACGACCACGTTCTGCAGTGGTGGAAATCCTGCGGTATGCGGGTTGAATTCAAGACTTGTGACATTGAGGAAGCGCTTGAGGATGCTGATCCGAGCTCTGGTGCTGAGGGTCGTGTACGGCGTTGGTGGGAGCGGAATGGGTTGAACCTTGGAGTTGGTACGAGTGAGTGGATGAGATCGAAGGTGCTGTGAGAATTCATTTTGCATCACTGCATGGCTGGTTTGCAATTTTCGTCTTTTGGCGTCTTGGGAAAGGATTCGTCTTTCTCCTTTCTGTTCATGCGGTTGCGTTTTGTTCTTTTTCATATCATGATTCCAGATGACGACTCACAATACCCATTTGAATATTCACATTGCTATCATTTTCATCGCGTGTTGGAGCTTCGATTTTGTTCGGTGACTCTAATGGAATATATCTATTTTGTCTGCGTGATTCAAATTGAATCTATTTTTTTACATATTTCTAAGTTAGAATGATCAAATAAAATGATTATCCCATCTTAGCCACATTACAAATTATTGGGGAAAACATACATCGATTGAGCGCGAATGATTGCTTCACAGTTCACCTTGGACCTGATCCTGGGGCGGCTGCCCCCAGAGTCTACGGGTGTTGGAATTGCTGAGTCAAGGCCTAGTCCGCCGCTGTGGCTACAAGACTCCACCCAGTAAATCGCAACATCCAACAACCTCCAACCCAGCCAATACCTTGGCAACCAATTCTGCTGATGCTGGCACGCTGGGTCCTGCGACGCGCGCTACGCGGTTCAAACGCAAGAGTAACACCAACCCGCACATGGCAACCATCGCCAAGTCCGTATAATAACATCCCGTCAAATGGCATCAATGGCATCAATGGCATCCACAGCATGACAAGAAAAAGGCCGAGCGTCGTTCAAAATGTACAATCGAATGTTCAATCACGAAATTTAATTACGGCTGCTATTCCAAGCTTTGCTGTCCCATCCCTAATGTTCATCGGACTTCTACTCGGTCTATGGACCTGGAAATGTTTCTGGATCATCGTCATGCAAAACAAGCTCCTCTACCTTTCCTGGTTGCCTCCATTCACAAGATCTGAGGTTATTTCAGACTATAAGTCTGAGTGTAAACCAGTGCAGTGGGAGGAGAAGCAGATTCGCAGTTTGGATGGGACTAAATTAGCCATTTGCGAAGGCCATATTCCGGTTCCTTACAGAGACCACAAGGCTGTTTCAAACCCCGATGCTTTACAAAATAAAGATCAGGGGAAAACGAAATCCCAAGCGAAAGAAATCCGTTGTGATTTGTTACTTCCAAGGCAATGGCGGATCGACCCCTATGCGATTGCCTATTCTCTCTCAGGTCTTGCGCGCAATTGCGGAAACATCAAGATCAACTTCATCTCCTACGTCTAGCCCCGAAGTGTCTCAATATACTATCGCTGCTTTATCATACCGTGGCTACTGGAAATCATCTGGTCGCGCCACACAATCCGGAATTGAGATGGACGCCCAGGCATTCTTGAACTGGATTTCAGAAACATATGCGTCCCCAGAAACTGATCTTGAAATTATGATTTGGGGACACAGTCTTGGTGCTGCTGTTGCAAGCTCAGCAGTATCTACGTATATTGCCCGCCAACATGAAGGGCGAAACTCCTCAAATACAAGCAATAACAAGCCCCTGGCGCCCATTTCCAGGCTCATCTTGGAGGCGCCAACATCTAGCATCAAAGATATGCTCATCAGCCTCTACCCTCAGAAATGGCTTCCGTATAGGTATCTTTGGCCCTTCTCTTGGAATACTTGGGATATTAAGGCGAAGATGAAGCAAATGGCTACATGGAGGGACCAATCTCTGTCTCAAACCCCCAATCCTGAAGCTACGGCTTCAATACCTCGCTCGCTTCCGCCCATATTTCTTCTATCTGCCGAGAAAGATGAAGTCATTCCGTCATACGTGCCAGCCCAGTTAGAACAGCATGCCAAATCTCTCGGCTTAGAGATCAAGAGGAAAGATGTCCTCGGCGCCATGCATATAGAGGCACCACTGAAACTGGATGGTAGGAAAGCATTGGTACAATTTATTCTCAACGGTACTTCCGTACCCAGGACATAATATAATAACCTCACGAGAGATACCACATAGATAAATGAAAGTACATACATAGTAAATCACTCCCACTTCTCAACATGCACATGCTTAACATCCACGTCCTTCATCAACGCCTTAAGCTTTCCAAACTCCTTAGAAGCCTCAGACTCCCCGAAAGCAATATGATCCTGAATTTTATTCCACCCACTGAACAGAACAAATTCCTCATCCTCGCCCTCTTTATCGATTCGACACGCACCGCAGGCAGAGAACGGAGCCGTGTATGCGTTTAAATAAGACACAGCAGCCTTGAAAACAGCGTCAAATTCATCTTTCTTGCTAACCTCGACAAAGCATCGAGTTATAGCGAGAACAGGTGCATCTAGTGGGATTTGAGACGTAGATGGCTGTCCAAGTCGTTAGCTTATATCTCTTGATACCGCCATTGAACTAGGATGTCATTTCAACGTCAAGATTGGTGGAAAGCTCACATCAAGATCCAAGTGAAACATCCAGCTAACATCAAGGTCACTCTGCAACTGCGCAAGCAGGTTCTGGTTGACTTCGGATGAAAGCCATTGGCCTTCGCCTGTATGTTTCTCGACGGATTCCCACCCGCCTAGTAAATAAAAGTATGATGGGTCTTCAATCTGGCGGAGGTATGTGACTTGATAGTCTGAGTATCCTGTCTGTTTCTTTTGGGCTTCTAAGAGGCCGCTTTTGGTAGAAGAGTGGGCGTCTTGCGCTTTCAGGCGGAGGAGGGCAAGTTCGGTTACTGGCATTTTGTCTTCTCTTTGAATAGAATAGACGGCCTGTGTTTGGTGTCTTGAGGAGGAATGTGTCTGGTGTCCTCGATTATTGGGGGTTGCACGTTGTTTTATAGGTCTATCGAGTAAGCCGAGCTAGGGTGGGGGCGCTTTGTAGGCAGCTGTTGGAGGCGTCATCTAACTAATTCTCGGCGCTAATTGACTAATCGGTCATCCTTTGATGTGTTTCATGCAAACACTGCTGATTTATCATCGTGTTTACAAATGTTCGGCGTTAGGGCTACAAGCTAACCTTGGAAGTCAAAACAGGCTATTATATATCTTGAACCCTGAATTCCAAAAAGGGTTCACAGAAATTGTGATGCAATCAATGTCCAATCGATTTAAGAATATACACACCCGAGACGCCAGCGATCAAAATGGATGTTCACCTTTCAGCAACACGATAGCCAATAGCTTTGGGTATACCGATCAAGCACTAGACCAGACAATGTACGAAAGAAACAAAAACCGCAAAGCGCAAAACAAAGACCGCGAGCTTCACCTATGTAATCACATGAATCAGACCTCTTTCCTGCAGGGATGTTAATAACATGAGGCGTAATAGAGAGAGGAAGAATGACGTACCAAGTAAGTCCAGGTTTCTCAACGCCCGGTGTCTTAATAGCATTTCTGTCACCAAAGGGGTTGTCTTCGTCGTCCTCTTCTTCCGACTCACTATCACTGTCAAAGATTTGGCGTGAGTGTTGCGACGAAGATGCAAGAGGCAAGCTATCAGGACGGTTCGGCCGTAGTGGCTTTGGGGGATTGATGTTTAGCCCAGCAAGGCCGTCATTCACGTCCGAGTCTTGCAGTCCAAGCCCATGTCTTTGCTTCCAATTTCCTTCCAAAAAGTCGTCCTCACTATCGCTGTCATAGTCCACGCTCTTATCTAGCACCTCGAATGCCATCAATGCATCCACCAGCTCCTCATTCGCATGGATCAGGCCGCCCAGGAACTCCTCGGTTTCTATATACTGGATGTATCGAAGGATCGTGTGACGAAGCTCCTTGCATTTATCGAATCGGTGACTGCATTCCGCATCCTCGCTCACTCGCTGCGTCTCGCGATTGACGAGTTTCAGAGCATTCAACAAGTTGGTGCTAGCAACAGAAGAGGCAGCGAGCGCTTGCAGGATCTCCGGGCGTTCCTTTTCCAGATCGAACCTCTTGTGGCTAATTGATAATTTCTTATCTTTCTTGACTTTCTTGGACTTGGACTTTTCTTTGGGACTGGTCAGCAGAGTGGATGGTCCACTGCCCCCTGACACGGATACAACATGACCCATCGGGGGCTCGTTGGAATTCGAAGTCGACCCCTCACGGAGAACCTTGGCTTTTGCCTGCGTCGCAGGCTGCTTTCGCTTGGGAACTTGTTTGTATAGCGCCGTGACCTTCGCCATACCAGGGGTGTCCTTATAAGTCGTCGCCCATTGTCCAAAAATCTGTTTGCATTTCTGTTTAACGAGTGGATCGGAAACGGAATCAGTAGCTGCGATGCGCAGACGTTCAAGCAACGCCTCATCGGCGAAATCGCGCAAGAAACGTTCACCAGCATTCTGGACAAGGAAGTCGAGAATAGTAAGTGCCCGCAGTTGTCGATGGAGATTGCCGTATTTTCTGGATTGGTCAGACTGATTTTGAGCACTTTCAATAGTCGTAGACTTACAGCTTCTTGCGAAGAGCCCGACTTGCTTCCATCGGGCCGCTGGCCTGGATGCGAACAACTTCCACTAGGTCGACAATACCACTCGAATCTTCGACCTCATATTGTTCGCTCGTTAAGACCTCAATTTGTACGGTCACTGCCGAGTACGGTTTCTATTGAACTCCCTATCAGTCGGTGCTGGGAGGGTGTACGATCTTCACCCGGTGACTCACGGAGGATTGGAACATATTGGCGTATTAAAGGGATACCCTCTAAAATAGTGTATACTTGGTTTGAGGAGCAACAGGTTTGGGGAATCGAAAATTGTCCCTAGTATCAAACAGCCCACTATCACCCCACGTTGCGATGTCGGTATAGTAATGACCCCGCACGGCGTTGTTTACACAAAGGGTTGGCAGGAATTGGGTGTGTATGTATAGAGTATGAGCGGCGATAGGATACAGGTTGATTCGCTAGAAAAATGCCGGAAAGGGATTAACGGTGTGAAAGACAAACACAGGACTCAGAGAGCTTTCGCGGTACCTTCACGTGGTGTCGGTGACGTCGGAGGCCCCAGGGGGTCTTGGCGCGCGTTAATCTAATAAGCGCAATGAAAGTGGCGCGAATGCAGAGAGGATATGTAGGCGGTTCCCAGTTTGTTCAAGAAGGACCCAAATTGCAAAATGGCCTTGTTACAGGGCAAGAGGGAGTTCAAAACAATGTTGAGATAGTTTAAGCTTATCGACTCCTCGTGACTATTCCGACCCAAAGGGGATTAGGGCGGGGTCTAAAATGCCTGAGGCCAACTACATGAGAAAGAAGGTCATTAATCGACTTGAGCGATCTAATAGTAACCAATAAGACCCCGAGAAAGCAAGAGTAGTCAATCCTGGCTACATTTCTTGCCAATTGATCTCGGATGAAGCTTTCGTCTACTCACCGGACAGATCCATCCCCACGCTCCTATTTGTTACGCGTACTGTCCCGCTTCGTGGTCTGCTCCACCCTTATTCTAGTCGTCAGCGTGGCTCTCAAATCCCGCTCTCGTCTTTCCCTCCTCCTCCCCCACCTCTCCTCCAACCAACCTACAATCATGTCTTACCAACAGGAACGCTACATCGCCGAATTGGCCGTCCAGCGGGCGTGTCTCCTTACACAGAAGGTCTTCTTCGAGAAGGCCAAGGGCACAGTCTCCAAGGATGACAAGTCCCCTGTCACCATTGGCGACTTCGGCGCTCAGGCCCTGATCATCTCCGCCATCCGCAAAAACTTCCCCAACGACGAGATCGTCGCCGAGGAGGAGGCCAGCTCCCTGCGTGAGGACAAGGACCTCAGTGCTGAGATCTGGCGCCTGGTCAAGGACATCAAGCTGGATGATGCGGAGAGCGATAATATTCTGGGTGGCCCTCTCACCAGTGAGCAGAGCATGCTGGACATCATTGACAGCGGCAACAGCGCCGGTGGTCCCAAGGGCCGCATCTGGGCCCTCGATCCCATCGACGGCACAAAGGGCTTCCTCCGTGGCGGCCAGTACGCCGTATGTCTCGGTTTGATGGTTGACGGTGACGTCAAGGTCGGTGCTATTGGTACTCCTAACCTCCCCGTCGACGATGCTGCCCCCATTGATGCCAGCACCGGTGCCCAGCAGTCCGCGACTGCCGGAAACGGTGTCCTGTTCTCCGCTATCCTCGGTGAGGGTGCCACCAGCCGTCCTCTGACCAGTGGTACTCTTGCTGCCAGCAAGCCCATCTCCATGCGTCCCGTCGCTAAGATCTCCGACGCTGTCTTCTGTGAAGGTGTTGAGGCTGCTCACTCCGCCCAGGGCGACAACGCTGCCGTTGCTCAGCTTCTTGGCATCACCGCCCCCAGCGTGCGACTGGACTCGCAGGCCAAGTACTGCTCCATTGCCCGCGGTGCTGGTGACGTCTACCTGCGTCTCCCCGTCAAGAAGGACTACCAGGAGAAGATCTGGGATCACGCTGCTGGTGACTTGCTCGTTCGCGAGGCTGGTGGCCAGGTGACTGACATCTACGGCAACCGCTTGGATTTCAGCAAGGGCCGGACCTTGGCTGTCAACAAGGGTGTCGTTGCTGCCCCCAAGGCCCACCAGGACCAGGTCATTGACGCTGTCAAGACCGTCCTGAAGCTGTAATTGATTTATGATTTTTAATTTCGTCGCCTCGTCCACTGCACTTGAGCTCCCGGGGAGCAGAATCAGTCTGAAGTAGATTTGTGATACCATCGCTTGTGAGAGGAATAAAAAAATACATATATGACGATAAGAGTACAAAACACGGAACCAAACACAAAATGTCCCGCGTAGCTGAAAAAAAGAAATGCGCTTCCAGTCTATTTGATCTTCTTCGCCTTGAGCTTGATGGTCTCTCCGTTGACGAAGATACCCTTGCCCTTGTACGGCTCGGGGCGTCTCCATTCTCTGATCTCGGCCGCGAATTGGGTCACAACCCGCTTGTCGACACCCTCCAACAGGATTCTGGTAGGTTGCGGTGTGCTCGCAACAACACCCTTAGGGATACCCAGCTCAATTGGGTGGGAAAAGCCGACCTTGAGGGAAACGAACTTTTGGCCGGGGTAGTCGGATTGGACGGTGGATGCCTTGTCCTCGATGGTAGCCCTGTAACCGACACCAACCATACTCAAAACACAGACGTGGCCCTCGGAGACGCCGAGGATGTGATTCTGGAGGAGTGCTCGGATGGTTCCTAGATAAAAAAAAGTAAAGTGTTAGACAATAATAGCTTGCCGCGGAGAAAAGACAGGAGAACATACCCCACATAGCACGCTGGTGAGGAATCGTCTGATCCAGGACGGACAAACTAGCCTTCTGACCTGTCTCATCGGGGGTGATAGTGAGGAACGAGGGAATTTTGAGACTCATCTCGCCTGCGAATCGGGCAAGTTAGCATCCATCCGCCGAACCACATTTCAACGACAACACATTACCCTTGGGCCCCTTAATCTCAGCCATAAACTTGGGGATATCCTTTCCTCGTGTGCGGGAGAGAGTCTCGGGGATATCGATGAGCTTAAATGACACCTCCGGGGGGATGGAGAGCGCGGCACCTCCGACTCGGGACTGCGCCGGGGATGTGGTCGAGAAGCATTGTGTGCGGGGGAGAAGGCGGGTGCGAGGAAGATGGGTAGGGAGCCGCGCTGGAAGGGCTCTCGGAGAAGCTGGCGGGCGCAGCGTTGGGGTATGGAGCACGACATGGTGATTTGCGCGTGTTGGGTCGGATGCTGTGTTGCGGACTTTGGATTTTGTTTCGCAGATGGATCGTCTAAATTGGGTTTAGCGTGCACGTGATTATCTATATATCATTAGTTTCCAACAAACTTTCATCATATCATGATCTTAGCATAATCAATTATGTTCTCAACTACAGTGCTATAATATTCGAGTCCATTGTGTCAAGAAAATTTGATGTTGGGTTGTTTTTTATTGTATGCGTCTATTCTCAGAGGTTGTTGAAACCTGGTGCCCATAAATCCAAACTCCCGAGGGCCATTCGGATCCTCCCTTCCACACGCAGAAGTGAAAACAAACCTGACGAAGTGACACAATTTATCATGATTTATCCCAGTTTATCCCAATCAAAGCACGTATACCCGTTCAAATATAAACATTCTTCGTAAGACAGAATCTCTGCCTAGGCCCAACACAGATGAGGCACCATAACCCGAACATCAGCACCAACCCAGCATCAACTTCGAACTCGTTCCCAGTGGACTCTTCCTCGGTGTTCAGTCAAGTTGTCCTTTCGATTGAAGGACATGTCGCATGAAGGGCAATCGAACGAGCGCGGAGCTATATGCTGCGTGTCGATGTGACGCAGCAACGCCGGTTTTCCAGAGAAGGGATCACGGTACCCGCAGTCCTTCCAGTGGCATTGGAAAAATCGTTGGGGATTCCTAAAATGGACGAACGGTGTCAGTGTGTGTTAAAGCTTGATGATAAATTCCAAGGTTGCTCACTCCAGTTTCCGCTGGCGCCCTTGGGTACGCGCAGAAGATCTCTTCCCCTTGGTATAGCTATCTCTGGTACTTTTGACCTGAGATGACCTTGGGACAGGTGAAGCCGATGCTGGAAAATTGGTGCCAGCGATGTCGTACCTAGGGCCGAGATAGCCTATCGCCAGGTCCCCGGGGGCCGTAGCTGCACAGTCATTCTCGACTGGAGGTTGTTGTATGGCCTTTTGATTGAAGCGACACATACCGGAACAAGTCGAGGGCGAGCCAGCAGACACAGCGAAGCTAGGCGCTACAGATGCAACAGGATACTGTACGGGATAGGTATATCGAAGAGGATCCGTAGATACTCCAGATGGCTGCACCAGTGTAGAGGTTGAGGATTGATAGACAAGAGGGGTGAATTGGGAATAGTTGAAGTCTGTCAAAGTCCAGTCATAACCATCTGGCACATGTAAAGGATCACAGTGGGTGTTGCAAGAAGACGATGCCATACTAGAGGACTAGGATGGTAGAACAAGCAAGAGAAAAAGAAAAAAAGAATCAATACACTGATTGAGTAACGTGTTGAGTGAACTGAACTGTGAAGCTTTGGGGTAGAGGGCAATCATTTTTATATAAGAATTCGGAGTTTATGTGTACTGGTGAGATTTACTACCTAGCACTGCTACTTAATCCATATAGTGAAGAAGGGAAAAAACATGACCTCACATTAGTTTGGTCTCCCTGAACGGATATTTACTGTATTTTCCAATTCAGCGTTATTTGCGTGTCTGGCGTAATTTTATTTTGTTTTGCAGCAAACTGGGTCATATCGAATTAAATGAAACACAGCGAAATATTCGTTAATACAGGTATTCTTAAAACCGGGCTCGTTATAACCCGGTTTTACTGTATATATATGTACTAGGTATACATTCCAAGGTAGGACACAGCGCTGGCTACCTCCCACGGTCGAGAACTCTGATAGGATCCCCAGATCAGATCAGTGGGGCTTTGAGGTATCTTGCATACTTAGGCATTCGGAGGTTTTTTTAGGAAGGCTGTGCTAACCTTTCATTGGGCAGTGAATCCATATTAAGCCCATCACGTGTCCGTAATAAAATGGGGCTGACGGCCCAATCTTATTTCTCAATATCTTTCACTAAACTACCTACATACCTACCTACTACATACTAGTAATGTAGGTACATCCCCAGATGAACCCATTATTGTTACTTTTACCTGGGACACAGGGTAGATCACGCCGGTTTTGCATGCTTTCTGTTTCTAGATCCAGTCTCAGAATAAACATCATCACAAAGTAGCCTTTTCCATTAATGCGTTTGGTTTCCATTAACAATATTATGTGGTAGGCCCTGGCTATGTGGCAGTCACGCTGAAGGAAGAGTCGAAGTGATCCGAATCCAGCAGTAATTACATATGTATGTAGTTTCATGTATAATCTCACCCAAATTCATCTGACAAATTTCATGGCTATCCATAATTGCCCTCTCTTTGGAAGGTTCCAAGGCCAGGAGATTGAGATTCCATACGGCAATCCTCAGCCCGCTAACTTCGCAGTATTTCTCCGGGCCATACACTAACAACCTATAAGCCAAATAACAGGCCAAGTCCCCAGGGGAAATTCTCCAGGAAAAAATAAAGCCGGAGCTGGGCGTGACCCAAACAACTTGGATGTCAAGTTTCACTTTCGAAAGCCATCCTTCATCCATTTGTTGCCATCTTATATCATCCTTCTCACATACCATCTTATACTCATTCATCTCAAGCAATATACACGAGTTACCAAGAGCCTAGTCCCCTCCAAAGCCACGTTCGTACACTAAACCAGCCAGGCTATTCACTATGAGGACAATCAGTGGCTTTCAAGCGCTTTCATGTATCTTTCTCGCACTTGCACAGCTGAGTCGAGCGAGTACCTCTCAACAAAGTAAGGCATTCAGATGTCACTCAAATATGCTTGCTGACCCAAGCAGGTGTCCCAATCATTGCACCCAAACCGCCAAACATCGACGCGATCTCTTTCCTTAGTTCCCGATCGCAAGACCAAGACAGCATCTTCAACGAAGCCGTCAAAATTCTGGACTCAATGAAATCTTCACCCTCATGCAACCGACTTGCAGCAACAAAACTAGTGAGCTCGTGTCAAACATTCAGCGATGGCAGAGATGGCGTGCAGACCGATAGTCCAGAAATGCTCGACCATCTTCGATCCGTCTATGCAGCACGCCTGGCATTGTGTGAGATCGACGGTGCTGGTACCCCAATGCCTCCCTCATGTCTTCCTGTCACTGTCTCGCCTCCTCCACAGAAGAACCGATTCGCTTTTGTGGGTCGTCACAGAGGCTCTGACCCTGTCTCGGGTGAAGTCCCGAAAGGATTATTGGAGCAATGCCTCAGGACACTTGAGTCACGACCCCAGTGGTGGACTTCCTATAGCAATAGTCGACAGAATGCACTTGTGATCTGCCATGCCTCGCGAATGGAGACGGAAAAAGAGGAGCTTATCGGCCTGCATCGATCCATTGCCAAGAGCAGCCTTAAGCTCAATATCGGGCTTCAAGAGGCTTTGCAAAACGCAACTGCACAATCTGCACAGCAGTACTCATTCATTCAAGCTGTTCAATCTCTACAAGAGAAGATCGTCACCGATATGGAAGTGACAGACTCTGTGTTTAAACGAATGTTTGCTAATTTTCTCCGAGAAATCGAAGCTGGGATATGGTCTCTTCAAGATTCTATATCTGCGGCTTTGTCAAATGTGCGGACTGGAACAGGAGTCCTTGAAAAGGTAAATTCTAACAAGTCAAATCGGAGTTTAAACATGCACTAAAATTTATCTAGGACATCCGGAACGTATCGGCCCAAGTGGAAGCACTTCAACAAGCTCTACGGAGTGCACATCAAGATGCAATGACTAGAAGCCAAGAGACGTTGCTGGCTCAAGAAAGCAATGCTGTTGTCCAGAGGGATCTCGCATCTTCTTTACATCTGTCCCTCGAGTCGGTTCTTGACTCAGATATGGCCAGAGTGTATCGGGGAATGCAAAGGTTCGATGCTGCTATGGTGTGTCAAATATAGATTTACCTTTTGTGTATACCGTGAGACTAAAATTTTGCCCCTTTTCATAGGAATGGTTGACCAGCCGAATGAACATGATTCTTGAGCAAGAAACCAGGATGACAGAGGTACCAGCTCATTTCCCACACATTGACTCTCCTACTGACTTTCTGAGCGACTTAAAAACATGGAAACCTTCATTCAACAATCTGAATCTAAAGCAAGCGAGTTACAAAAGGCCCAATTCCAACAATCAGAAGCTCTCTCTGCACAATCGCGGGCCCAGGAGGCCATTCAATTTGACGCGCAAGTATCGCAAGCTTTGCTGGCCAAAACTAGGGTTGCCGCTGCCAATTTGCAATCTGTCATCGACGATGCAGCTTTCAAGTTCAAGAATGTCTCAGGATTTGGTATCGGGGGATCCTCCGCATGGTCTCTCTGTGCCGTCCTACTCGTTGTCATCGCCGCCCAAAACCTTAAGATTGCAATCTCTTTATTTTTCCTCATTTTGGGTACGTGTGTTTTTCATGATCAAGACTGATTGGAGCTAATACAATGTGGCTTAGGGCATTCTGTTGCCCTGACCATCTTCAAATTTCTTTAGTTATAAACACCCTGCGCAGTGATTTGCGGACCAGATACCATTGATACGCCGGCATTATCTTCCTTATTTTCCTATTGGTTTTTATTTTTTTCCCCTGCTATCTCTACCTTTTCTGCTTGCATCTCTTATGCTTGACATTCATCCATTACATCTAGATCTATAGCAATGGAACAACCCAGGATTTCACAGTCCAATCATTCGGAGGAGCTGTACATCTCCCCTTTCTGCTAATAATGATATGAAACTAAATAAACTAAATCGATAGATTGTTTCAGAAAAATAAAATGAAAGTGGAAGCAAATTAGCGCCAGCACAGCCACGATAACTGCCAGAGCCAAGATTAGCTGCGGGATAGGACCCATTTATATTGCGATCAGCCAATAAAAGCCCCTCCTCTACGCATTGGAAATGACATACGAGAAGCTAATTGCCCCCAAAAGAACAAAAAAGGAAAGTCGACAGCATAGATTGGGGCAGTCACGTGGGGAGTAAATAGAAGGACTGCGCGCTTCTCCTCCTTTTCGATTTGCAACGCGTTCCTCATCGGATCTTAATTCACATTTATCAAACTTCCCTTCACTCCGATCTCAAACTCGATCAAGATGCCTGGTGTTCGTGAGTGACAGTCCCCCATCCCCCATCCTCTAGACTCCCGACCCAAGATTTTGCGCTCCTCGGAACCATAGCGCTAACATTCCCCCAGCACCCGACGCTCTTAACCAGGTCAAGAAGGGCTTCAAGCGGTTCTTCAGCCTTCGCAAGAAGGCTGCTAAGAAGACAACCGAACAGCAGGCTGAACCCGCCCCTGCTGCGACTGCTGCCCCTGTCGCTGCCGCTGCTGCGGCGGCCAGTGAGACGCCTGCCGCGAAACCCACCGCCCCCGCTGCAACCCCGGACTCTGCCCCAGGTATGACACTCTCTTATCAATTTGATACCAACTCCGCCGCGCGTCTGAGACCCAACTGACTTATTGATCTACTCTAGATGCTGCTAAGGTGCCTGAGGCAAAGGATGCGAGCACGACGGAGCCTGCCGCCTCTTCTGAGATGACAGCTACCGCCGGCCCTGTTGAGACTCATTACGAGTCTGAGGCTGCCGCTGCCGCCCCAGCACCTGAACCTGCTGTACAGGCTGAAGCCCCTGTCGCTAAGGCCGAGGAGGCTGCTACTAAGACCGAGGCCCCTGCTACTGCGCCTGAACCCGCTGTGCAGCCCGAGGCGCCTGTTGCTAAGCCTGAGGAGGCTGCTACTAAGACCGAGGCCCCTGCTGCTGCGCCTGAGCCTGCTGTCAAGCCCGAGGAGCCCGTCACTAAGACCGAGGCCCCTGCTACCGAGGAACCCGCTGCTAAGGTCGAAGAGTCGGCTGCTCAACCCGAGGCCGCTGCTGCTGCCCCTGCAGAAGCTGCCGGTAAGACCGGTAAGTCAACTGGCTGAACGAGACAAAAGGACAATTTTAACGCGAAGCTAGATGCACCCGCTAAGTAGAAGTGTGGATATCCACTTAATTGGCGAGAATTGGACCTTTCTTTGCGAGTCTGATCTAACTTGCGAGTGCTTTTTTCCCGCTCCCTATTTTGTTTCATACCCTCAGCGTTGTATATTAATCAGTTTCACGAAGCGATGCAATGCATGCTTTTTTTTCTTTCTTCCATATCGGCCTTGATCAGACCACTCAATACCATGCAAAGCTCTGCTTATTCGTTTTAGAATCCTTCACGCAACGGTAATACTTACCGCTTTAATTTGATATATTATACGGTTGCTGCTGACGACAAAGGGGAAAACCAACACTCCGACGGGTATCACATTAAGAAATCTATCCTGAAGCTAGATAGTCTCATTCCTCCCCACCAGAGGAATGATCATCACCATCAGCCATAGCGATATCTTCAACACTAACACCCGCCGCTGCAGCCTTCTGCTCTCTGGCTTTTTGTCTGCGCTTGAGTTTCCTCTCGCGGTTCTTCCGAGTCCGCTTCTCCGCTTCATTTTCCTTGGCAGCCTGTGCGGCCGCAGCGCGCTTGCGCAGCTGCACTCGCCGCTTCTTGCCTGGCTTCTTGCGTGTGAGTGGACTCTTCGAGAGAGGTACGCCCTCTACTACGTAGACGGGAAGACTGTTGGCTGGCCGTGGCATTTTAGTCTGATGTCGCTTGAGATGGATGACTCGCCAGGGGAGATGGCAGCCCGGCTATAGATTAAGTTAGTAGCTATAAAACTAGCCAAGTAGGTATTTACTTACCCAGACTAGCGATTTGGCCCATGTCAGCATGTGTTGTCCGCTAACGGCCATATCCTCGAACTGTTTCTTCTTTTCCGCTATCCGAATCTCGTCTTCGGCGGTAGGTTCTCCGCTCCTTGTGCCCTGAAGAGAAGGTGTAGAGAAGTAATAATCCCATCCCCGGGAGGCTTTCACAAATCGTCCCTCGCTGCCAGCGCCGGATCCCGGTGTAGGTGAATGCAGTCGGATCCTCAATTTTTGAGTAGTGGCAACTTCTGTGCTTTTTCCATCTGTATCCTGTCCTGACGGCTTGGTGGTATCTTCTGTTGATTTGGCGGGGGCGCTGAATAGCCGGAATTCAAATTCTTGTTCCTCGTCCTCGTCATCGGCAGGCTGTGAGGGACCATTGTCTTGGCTAGTTGTATCCTGTGCAGTATCCAATTGATCGAGATTTAGTAGTTTTCCTAGGCGGGCGTATGCATCCTGGGCGGCGGCATCGTCTGGGGCTGGTGATGGTGACCGAGATGATGCTGGCGAGCGCATCTCATCGCGGCGGACGCTATACAGGCCAGATTAGTTGGTGGATGCATTGAGAAAACGCTAGATGAATTGCAGGCTCACATACCGCTTGGCATTTGGTAGATCAAACATGGTGTGATGTGTGGGGAGAGGAATGAGACCAAAATGCCAAATTAAGAAAAACGGTGTTTCCACGCCGCTCTGCGGCCACGGCCTGATGACATGGCACGGACCGCCCAGCCTCAACCTCCAACTTCAAAGAAGTCCTTTTTTGTCGACATTGTGACTCTCTACTGCGCCATTTGTTTCATTTCATATTCTCTGTTTTCCGCATATTACACACTCCTTACCTTCTGATAATTCCCTCACCTGCTGCCACAAAGAGTACCCGCACCTCCACTATTGGGGTGATTAATGCCTCGTGCCCATCGCATAGCGCAAACGTGCAGCCAAGAACATCCCCGGTTCTGAATTCCCGATCCCGATCCCTATAAATGGGTATCTGTGCCTCCTGCCTCGGCGGGAATCGCCACGAGTCTCCTGAGGTGAGTCCTGAGTCTGGGACTAGTTTCCCTGTCACCATGTTCAGCGCGCATTACCTCGGTCTGATGCGCGATACGTGGGATGCTTATCGCAGAGCACATTTGTCTAACATTTCTTTCATAAAGCCTGAGTCCTCCCGTCTACTCGACGAGGACCCTTATCAATCCGGGTATGGCTACGGAGCACTCAACCATGCTCATCAGGCAAGCCAGCCGGATTCGGAATATGTGAGACGTGAGAGGGAGGCGCTGGAATCAATTTGCCAGCGGACATCTGAGTGAGTATATATACTATGCTAGTTTCCCCTTGTTCTATTCTATGGGCAAATTAGCTTTGGGTGGGAACTGAATTCATGCTAATCATTTCTCTCAGCTCTGTCATCGATATCTGGTCCATCCAACCACAACCTCACCTTCGACCCCAAGCAACTCTTCACACCCCTATCTCTGCTTCTCCCGTTCCATCACAAACAAATGAGACAACAACACATGTTACATCCACCCATCGCACATCACCGCCAAGCCGCCCTACCTCCGGTACATCAGGCACTGTCCCAAAACACTGGGGTGAAGTTGTCGTGAACCCAAACAAGAAACGGTCTCGTACCGATATCAAATCTGATGCTAAGGCAAGCCATGATGTGTTTGGAGTTCTCAACGTCACCTAAAATAAGGCGTCCGGGACATACATCACTGCCCATTGACGCTGCACATTGACGATGAGATGTACACGACAAATGAGGGTGCGGGTTGTGAGGATAAAATCGAGGGGTGCAGATAAGGGTACTGGAAGACCCGTTTCATTATTTTCTTGCGTTGCGCTGTTATTTGAGCTATTTTTGTTTCTTTGCATTGATCGCAGGTCGACTGTTTTTTCGCACATACATAACCATTCCTTCTTTTCTCCCATGGTATGGTCTGATAATACCCAATGGCGCAGACTTTTTCTTTTGTTGTGAGATTCTCATTTCTTCATCCAATGTTGCTTTCTTTTCTGCTGGCGTGCTTTGCTATTGCGAGTCTGTTTCTTTGTCTTCATATCATTTTGTCAGTCGCGCACTGCTTGTATATGTAGTTTTTGTTTCAAGTGGACTTCATCTTTCCTTTTCGTATAGACACACAATTCGAGTTTCATTGTCAATTGAGTTGTTATAAATCGGGATACTATATGTAGATGCCGAAAGTTCTAATCTTTCTAGGGGAGGTATATAGATCAACCCATATAGAAGTCCAGCTTTGGATGATGGGTAGTTTTTATATGAAAAGTATTTCGAGCTTACTATACAATTAAGATATCACGGGAAGAATCATAAAAAGAAGATGACTCCCCATACTTATGAGAGATTCGGCATCAATTGTTCAACCTGTGACTCCGCCGATAATTATTCCAAATGCCTCTTGGGTGGACTTCAGGTGGGTGGACCGAAATACGTAATAAGAAGTGAGGGAAATGAAAAATGAAGATGGAGATTAAACAGGGAAAAAAAAAAAACAAATGGATACATGACAACTCCCCTATGATAAATAAAAGAAAACGCCCGCTGATATCCAGTTCCGGGATGGACATAGAAAAGAGTTGGGTGATGCAATATGTTCGTGCCGGGTCGATGCTAGAACTGGCGGAAAAGGCTCGCACTGCAGAATCAGACATCGTCCATTGTGCCCGCAGGCTGTTCGCCATCAGACTCGTAGCTCCCGGCCGAGCTTAGCTCATCTTCGGATTCAGTGTCCTCGCCTGCTTCATCCACTGCCTCTTTGCTAGCGTATTTGGCAACATATTCTAGTACGGAGTTGTCAGTTTCGCATATCGCATATTGGCAAATATATATCTTTTAACATACCTTTCACCTTTGCCTCATATGCCTTGGGTTCTCTCATCATCAGCGCTGCTGCCTCTCCGTTGAGAGGATCCGAAGGGTTGGGGTAACGAAGGAGCTGAGGGAGGAAGACCTCGAAGATGTTGAGCATGTCGTACATCGGAGACCACGTTTGGTTGATCACATCAAGGCAGACCGAGCCCGACCTAGGGCAGAGAAACCGCATTAACCTCTTTGAGTTTCTTTTCCATGCATGCCGGACCCTTAACTCACAGCTCGTCGATGTTTGGGTGAAAAATTCTGTTGACAAATCCGATGCTCGGGCTTTTGTATGGGTACTGGTCAGGCAATTCGACGTGGATTTTCCAAAGGCCTCCAGTAAATGGTGCTAGAAAAGTAGTTAGTTTGATGTAATACCGGTTGATTATGAGCGAGACATACTCTCTTCCGGGCCCTTGAAACGAACGTAGAATTCCTGCCTGTTGGTAATAATTGGTATCGGAGATCTTCAAATGGCTGATTGGCTGATTGTAGGGGAACGGAGTACATACACTGGATTTCCGGAGTTAGTATATAGATCCATGACCGGTAAAGGATCACAACTTACTGTTGTCATTGACTAAAGTCACCTCATAGTCACTCATAAGCCTAGATAAACTGTCAGTATGTATCCCGGAAACCAAGTATGCTCGCCGAGGCGGCCCAAAAAAAGGTTGGGAAAAGCGGCGGCTAAATTGAAAGGATAGAGGATTTTCGGTCGTACATCCTAGCTAAATGTTAGTTCCGTATACTTTAGATGTCTTTGGACTTGCGGAGCATACTTCATGACCTAAATAACGAAAAAAAAAACAACTGTTATTAGTATCTCCGGCGACTCTGGGGGCTTATCGGACTATCCGCAACATTACTCACATCTGTCTCAATTCTGCGCTTTGGGCTACTCATGTTGGCGGTTTGAATAGAGTGGCAGGGTTTCAGATCTCGGAGATATTATCGACGGCGGGCTCTCACGGGGAAAGCAGACCCAGCAGTGTCAAATGTCGTGATTCACAGGCAGATATTCCCGTAGTCGGAGCGGGGAAGTAATTGGCGGGGCAGACGATGGACTTTGAAACAGGTGTCGAGTGATCAAAGGGTCGGTGTGTAAGCGGTAGCAAAGTGAAGAGGATAACAATTAGAAGAGAAGGCTTCACTTATCAGGCTTAATACAGAAAGAGGAGAGGAGAATGGGGTCTTTCAAGGTTTGGATCAATGATTAGATCGGGCATGATTAGTCGATGAGTCAGCGAGAGCCAAGCCCGTCATGACGATGACTAGGATAGGTGGATCCATGCCTTA